CATGCATATAACATTTAATCTTTTAACGTGTCTAGTGCATGTGGATTCAGTTGTATTTAATGGTATCATGATAAGGGGAAAAAAAAGGCAACTACTGCAGTGATTATGACACCGCAACGTACTATAATGATGGTTTATGTAAAATGAAATTAAGTACCTGACACTTTACCAGAACATACACACATGAATCACTCCTTGGGGTTCACTCAAGACTTGACCAAATTTACATTAACACTGATACAAAATGCACAGACCACTTGGCCTTACTTTAATGTCAGCCAAACAAATATTCAACGTTAACAGGAGCAGTGTTTAGTTGAACTTACTATAGGTAACTGGTAATATTATTTGACAGTGACACAACAAAGATTGGTCATCAGTTCTTCAAGTACATTCCAGCGAGCCCTTACAATGCGCAGATTTTTAATTTGTGGATAACACCCTGGATGTACCCAAGAGGAGACTGGGACAAAAGCAGGGGGTTAAGCCTCGCCCCCTCAGGATCACACTAGGGAGTGAGGAGGAAAAATGGCAAGTTATCCGGCAGGCAAAAAACTTAGCAAGGAGCGAGGCATTTCGAGATGTATTTATCCACCCAGACCGCACGGTAATGCAGAGGGAACAGCACAAGAAGCTCCTGCTGGACTTGAAGCAGAAGAGGGAGGAGTCGAGAAGGAACGGGGACAGGTGCACATGGGTTATACTCAGGGGGAGGGTAGTGGAAACAAGTGTGCCGACACAGGGCCAGGGGGCAGCAGTGCACCCTCCACCCACTCAACCCCCCACCCGGGAGGCGGCACCGGCTCAGCCTACCGGACAGGAGGGAACGAGCGCCGTGTAAACAATGAAATTTTTAACCACACCCTGCAAAATACAGTGTACTTAGCAAATGCTGCAGCTTCTGAGAATGTGGGTGGAGCGGGTTTATTACTAAGAGCAGAGACGTTACCGAGAACAAATTCTGGCTTGAATGTCATGTACACTAATACCGACACGTTCCTTGATAAGAGGGAGGAGTTTGAAACACTACTAAGAGTACACCAACCAGATATTGTAGGAGTTGTAGAACTGTTGTACAAGAACAGGAGAATCGACCCAGAGGAATGTGAGTTCAGTATTGCTGGATATGACTCATTTACGAACCTAACTCAAGAATCCTGCAGGAGGGGTGTGGTTATCTACGCTAGGCAAGACCTTAGAGCCAGCCAGGCGAGGGTACAGGGAGAGGATGTCTTTGAAGAGTCCAAGTGGTGTAAAATTAAATTAAAGGGAGGGGACTTACTTATCGTCGGGTGTATCTACAGATCCCCGAACTGTGGCCCACTAAATCAAAGGAACTTAAGAACCTTAATAAACAATGCGGCGATGCTCAACCCCAGCCACCTCCTTATCATGGGGGACTTTAACTATGGCGACATCGACTGGAGAAACGAGTCAACCCCGAATGACTTGAATAATCCTGCTACTCTTTTTGTAGAAACTCTGAGAGATAATTTTCTGTTCCAACATGTGAGAGACCCGACACATTACAGAGGGGAGCAAACACCCAAGCCACTTGACCTCATCATAACAAACGAGGAGGGTATGGTGGCCAAACTGGAACACCTTGCCCCAGTTGGCACCAGTCACCATACAGTGTTGTCATTCAGATTTAACTGTTACCTAGTTCAAGATAAGGCCAGGCCAAGGTGCAAATATTACAAGGGAAATTACAATGGGATGAGGGAAGAGATGAGGGGTATCAACTGGCCTGACTTATTAAGGTACAAGAACGCAGACACTACGCTGAATATCATAACTAGTAAAATGACCCATTTGATCGATAAATATATACCCAAGACCAAACCCAGTGCTTCTAGGAATACGAGGGGATCCCTACACATGAACCATGCGGCGGTCGACAAAATTAAGAAGAAAACCCAGAAATTCAAGACGTGGGTTGGGTCAAACGATGAGCAGGACAGGAGGATGTATGCAAGAGCCAGAAACCAAGCAAAGATAGAGTGTAGGAGGGCTGAAAAGGAGTTCCAAAGGCTGGTTGCACGCGAGGTCAAGTCAAACCCAAAGGCGTTTTACCGCTATGCAAAGTCGAAATTGAAAACGCGAGTAGGAGTATCAGACCTGAGGCTTGAAGATGGTAGTTACGCAGATTCTGACCAGGATAAAGCTGAGGCATTGAACAGCTTCTTTTCCTCAGTGTTCACAAGAGAGGATGCAACTAACCTTCCTGCGTTTGAGGACAGACGGTTCGACACAGCACTGACCCACATTGTGTTCACAGAAGAGGGTATTAGAAATAAACTGTCCAGGCTAAAGGTCCATAAGAGTCCTGGACCTGACATGGTGCATCCTAGAGTGCTAAGGGAGCTGTGCAACGAGCTTGCAGAGCCCCTGAAGATTCTGTTTTGTAAATGCCTGGATGAACAAATGGTCCCCAGTGAATGGAAAGTGGCTTATGTGAGTCCTATCTTCAAGAAGGTCACTCCACGAACAACTATAGAGTGAGCCTGACCAGCATAATATGTAAAGTACTTGAGAGTATTATCAGAGATGCAGCGATGGAACATCTACTACGAAACAACCTTGTAAAAGATTGCCAACACGGTTTTATGCCGGGGCGCTCTTGCTTGACACAATTGCTCAAGGTATTGGATATTTGGACCCATATTCTAGAACGGGGTGGTAATATCGACAATATTTACCTAGATTTTGCCAAGGCTTTCGACAGTGTACCCCACGAAAGGCTGAAAATCAAACTGGAAGGGTACGGAATTCGGGGAAATGTCCTAGCGTGGATAGAAGACTTTCTACATGACCGCAAGCAATGTGTGGTGATTAATGGCACGAAATCGTCATCTGTACCTGTAACAAGTGGGGTACCGCAGGGTAGTGTATTGGGCCCGCTGTTGTTTGTTTGTTTCATAAATGATATGCCTGACGTTGTACACTCCTCCATACAAATGTTTGCCGATGACGCCAAGTTATTTCGGGAAATTAAGAACCAAGCGGACTGTGAAGAGCTGCAGAAGGACCTCTGTGGGCTCCAGGAATGGTCGAAGGAATGGCTGCTGAGATTCAATGTCACGAAGTGTAAGAGGATGCACCTGGGGCGTACCAACGGTAAGGAGGCGTACCATATGTCCCAACGGGATGAAGAAAATGTACTAGTTGAGACTGTGTGTGAGAAGGACCTAGGTGTGTATGTTGACAATGAGCTGAAGTTCTCGGGCCATTGTGAGAAGAAGGTAAATCAGGCAAATAAATTATTGGGTCTTATAAGAAGGTCGTTCAGATATCTAGACGGTCCGTCCCTCGTGACGATCTTCAGGAGTGAAGTGCTTCCCCATCTGGAGTACTGTCACCCCATCTGGTCCCCGAGATATGCTAGGGACTGTCAGTTGGTTGAAAATGTTCAAAGGAGGGCCACCAAGCTGGTGCCTGCACTTCGGCATCTCAGCTACCCTGCGAGATTGGAGCGCCTGAACTTGCCTAGCTTATACTACAGACGGGCAAGGGGGGACCTAGTTGAGGTTTATAAGCATCTCAGGGGGCACTACTCAGTTGAGTGTCCTTACTTGGAGCTGGCGGACGCTCGCCCCACAAGGGGTCACAGCTCAAGATTGAAGAAGCCGCAAGTCCGGAAAACCGTGAGGGCAAACTTTTTCGGAGTGAGGGTTGTAAACTCTTGGAACAATCTACCAGAAAGTGTTGTGACGGCACCGAGTGTGAGCTCTTTCAAGAGAAGACTTGACCAACACTGGAGCGGGTTCAGGTACATTCAGGAGCCGGTGCATGCCCAGTATTTGCCAACAGTGCGTGACAGAGACGTGACCGATCGCCCGGGCGGCTAGCGAGCCGACCTTTTGGTGAAGAATATAAAGGAAAAGAGTCGTGACCGATCGCCCAAGCGGCTAACAAGCCGATCAGTGGCAAAGAGGATAAAAGTAAAAGTAAAAGTAAGAATGTCTGCAGGTAGTTTTAAAGTTGGCAGCATTTTCACGTCCGGGACAGGGAGTCTGCGAGTTTTATGGCGTCCCACAAGGTGTCTCTCTTGTCCCAGGTGGCTCGGCCATGTGCGCTCACTCCGCCTCAGTGACAGTCCAGGTTAAACACTTGTCCGTTTCGCGCCTGTGTGCTGCTCTGCTTATCGGAATTTCCAGAAAATGCCCCTGATTTTCATCTCTCAAACCCGAAAAAACTCCCCCATCCCCGGGATTTTCTCGGAATTTTTCCGGAAAATGTGCCCCATCGTTTCCAAAGCAGGAATTTTCCAGAAAATTCTGGCTTTGGGAACGATTTTCCGAGAAAATTTCAATTCCGGCTATCGGAGAGTTACGGGTTTGAGGGATTCCGGCTAACGGAGATATTACTGTATTCCCTATATGTGTTTGCCCTTAGGATTTCTTGTACCTGTACTGTATACAGTATGTGTGTGCGAGTAGCCCGCCCACACACAAATAAATAATAATGGGAAAATCCTCTCATAAATACCTGTCACAAGATTGTTATTCGTGTACAGTAATTATTATTACTCTCAATACTGGGGTTACAGGTTATTCTGGCACACACAGTTGTCACAACCCCAGTTCACCCCTCGTCTCTTATCAATATTACACCTGTTAACACTGCTCAGAGACGTGACCGATCGCCCAAGCGGCTAACGAGCCGATCAGTGGTGAAGAGGATAAAAGTAAAAGTAAGGATACATCAGTAGTCATTTACTAGATGGGAATAAGATACCTGAGACAGAACAATTGAAGGTATACAAAGATAAACCAGTCAGACTGTTTTATTAAGGCTCTCTCACATAAGTGTTTTAATACAGTACTACTGACACTAAATACAGGAACATAATATTCTTCAAGTATAGAAATGACTTAATTGTTATTTACTGAACATATTTTTTGTCTATCTCTTTTATATCTTCATCTATATATATATATATATATATATATATATATATATATATATATATATATATATATATATATATATATATATATATATATATATATATAATGTGTACCTTCACCTTTTGTAATAAGTATGGTATATTATCACCTATGTAATATAACTCTGTATTGTCATGGAACTATATAGGCCAGTCAGAAATGGAGTACTTACTTATCACTGTCATGCTTCATTTTGGGGTAGACCCACTATCTTATTTGATGTTTCTTGTCGCTCATACTTGGGATAGAGTGTCGCCTTCACACTAGGACTACCTGGTCTCACACTATGACTACCTGGTCACCGTCATACTAGGACTACCTGGTCACTGTCACACTAGGACTACCTGGTCACTGTCACACTATGACTACACCCTTGCCGTCACACTAGGACTACCTGGTTACCGTCATACTTGTAGTAGGCCTCGTCGGGACACTTGGAACAGGTCATATTACACGCGCGTCCACCGGCGGCCTGACATGACAAGGCAGTGTTGCAGCTGAGGTTCTCTATGTACTCCATGTATACCTGCCGGGGGAAGTGTCTTGTTAGTATCACACACACACGCACACACACAACACACACACACACACACGAAATATAAACACCTGGGCACACCTGACTTACGCACTATTTTTCTCTTAATTATTTACGTTCGTTTTGTATTCTTTCATTGCCTCTGTCTTGGTCTCAAATGCTTGTGTCTCCTCATTCAACATAGGACAGGACAAACTCTCAGCCTCGTCGTCCAATCTCGTGGTTATTTAGTCGTTAAATTTTGGCAAATCACCCAGTCACTTCATCCTATCTCTGCTTGTTGATTTCTACCATCACCCAAACCATCTTTGTATGTTAGTATCCACGCCATCTATGTTAGTATCCACACCATCTATGTTAGTATCCACACCATTTATGTTAGTATCCACACCATCTATGTTAGTATCCACACCATTTATGTTAGTATCTACACCAACTATGTTAGCATCCACACCAACTATATTAGTATCCACACCAATCACGTTAGTATCCACAACAATTATGTTAGTATCCACACCACCTTTGTTAATACCCACTCCACCTATATTAATATCCACACCACCTACACCACTTTCACCATCACCCACACACCTGTACCATCACACCACACCACCTGCACCATCATCCATACCACCTACACCATCACCCCACACCAACACTCACCATTGGGCCGGCTCGTACACCATCACTATCAACACAGAAGGCATATTTCCCTCTGGGTTGGATTGGCTCATAAGTGCCTGTGTTGACTTTACACTTGATCTCCAGTTGTATTTTGTTCTCTAAGTACAACTGCCTGTCCCGAGCACACCCTGTAACACACACACACACCGATATGTCTGTGTTAGTAGAGAGTAGATAACATGCTGGCTTATACTGTAGTTATGTGGGGCTTAGAATTGGTTTACTGTAGTTATGTGGGGCTTAGAATTGGTTTACTGTAGTTATGTGGGGCTTAGAATTGGTTTACATTTTTTTTTCTCGTTGAGATGTGGTTCAGGTAGTTACTAAGAAGTGTGGGTAGTAAATGAATGGTTTGGTTAATAAACACAGATATTCTTAGTATGGATAAGGTTGTTAGTACACAAAGAAAGTTGTTAGTACACATAAGAAATTAACATGTTGAAAATTAACCTTCTGAGTTATGAAAGGAGTTTAACATAGAGTTGTGGAGGTTGTGAGAAAACAGTGCAAGAGGTTGTAATAGTGAAGATTCTGAGCTAAAATTCCATATTAATTGTGCATTTTGTGATAAAAGCACCAACTTTGGTGGATAAGTTTGGGAGGCATTTGAAATTATGTTTCTGGTTACAATATTATTTTTAAAGGGTTAAAGTTGTCAACATCATACTGGCAATTACGCACCTTTAAACCTTTGCTATATAATATTTCACTTAACTGTCAGTGAATGAGTCGTCTCTCGGTCATTAATATTACCTAATTTTATGCTAAGTGTATGGATGAAATCCTTGTTTCATAGAATCCAACTACGTATCAAGGCAGATGAAGGTGCTGTAGGTATCACTGGTATCCAAGTGCCCACATCGGTGGAGGATCTCTGGTCCAGAGATTGCTTGGTTGGTTACTGGGTTCGAGGAATACCAGCCACAGTACAGTACACAAGAACACCAACGTCTTTATGACCAGAATGCATTTACAAAGGATGTACCGTATCCTACAGTGACCATTGAGGAACTTGGCAATCCTTTTCTAGAGGAGCGTACAATACAGACCTGCTGGTGCTGGTCACTAAGGGGATGAATCGCTGACCAATCTGCTGTGAAAACGGTGCAGGAGGCACATATTACTGGTAGTGTATATGCCAAAAACAGTTGAGGTCTTCACGAAGGAATGTTTTATTGAAACAAGTAATCTATCGATGATAGAATCTCGCGGAACAAGCTGCCATTGATTGTTACGTCCACTTCTAAGGTGTCGGCAGCAGGCACGCAGCATCATTGAAAGTAGTCCTGGAGCTCTAATTATTTATGTACATTGCATATCAGATGCAGGATGAATGGCTTGATGAATTTTTCTGCTACGATAATCAAGCATGGCCACCATCTTTGTCACAGTCTGGAGCACTGTACCTGGGTACTAAGAGTTATCTGATAGACTATTTTGAAGGCCTAACTGGGGCACACCCCTATGCACCTGATGTGAGCTGCATAGTCATTGATGGAGTTGTTGCAATGCAGATGTTGAAACCACCAACTGCAAAAACATTTGATGAGTATGCTCAGCAAGTGTTCATTCCCAACACCAAGGCACAATTTCAGAATGTGGAATGCTTTAACCTTGTACGGGACAGGTACAGTATGTCTGACACCCTTAAGGGTACTGCTAGGGCTAAACATAGGAAAGGAATCCCCAGGCTTGTGACTGGCTCTATATCCTTACTTAGAAAATGGCAGATTTTCCTGTCAAGATTAGTCGTCAATGCACGGGATGAGGAAGTCATAGTCACAGATAGGGAACAGCCCATGCTACACATGCATCCCAAAGCCAGCACCAGAAGTTACTGTAGACACAGATGTAGTGGTCCTTGCGTGTGTGCTAACATGAACATTCTCCCATTACTATCGCATGAATCAATTATCAAAAGTCAGCTCATCCTCGTGTTTATACTTTTACTTTTATCCTCTTCGCCACTGATCGGCTTGTTAGCCGCTTGGGCGATCGGTCACGTCTCTACTTTTCCTTTTCATTTATCTTTTTTACCAAAAGATCGGCTCTCTAGCCGCCTGAGCGATCGGTCACGTCTCTGTCACACACTGTTGGCAAATACTGGGCAGGCACCGGCTCCTGAATGTACCTGAACCCGCTCCAATGTTGGTCAAGTCTTTTCTCGAAAGAGCTCACACTCGGTGCCGCCACAACACACACTGGTAGATTGTTCCAAGAGCTTGCAACCCTCACTCCGAAAGAGTTTGCCCTCACGGTTTTCTGGACTTGCGGCTTCTTCAAGTTTAACTCATTCTGAGTGTAGGCTGTACGACTCAGTATCACAGACACTCATAGTACCAAAATATGTGACAGTATTATAGTTTTGTGTTCGTTTGTTGCCTTTTTAAAGATTCTACAGTAGTTTCCATAATTTTCCAGGGATTCTCTTGTACAATACTTTGTTGGAATGTTTGTGTTATCTTGTGTGACTGATGATAATACAAAGTCATTAAAGGTGATTTTAACAAAATTTTTATCCTCAACTGCCCATCCCCACATGTGAGGGAATTCTATGTGCCTCCTATCTCAAAAGAACTACCCTAATTTGTAGTTAATATTTGCCAAGGTTGGTACTTTTATCACCAGATGGTTAGCTGCTTCACTATAAGAAGTTAAAAGGTTGTAAGAAGTTGTGAGAATCCTGGAGGTTGTAAGAATTTATGGCAATACAGTACAGGAGGTTGTGTAGCACAGTACTCACTACAGCCGTCTCCTGAGGGGTAGGAGAGAGCTTGGTCCATGTACTTATCATAGCACCGACACCTGAAACATTATCACACTGTTACTTGTGTTGTTTTTACATCTTGTTCATTATTATTCAGTCATTTGTGTCATTATTATTACTTATTCATTATTATTACTTATTAGATCTCTACTACTACAACAAACTATTCAGTAATACTGTACTTTTGTTAGCCAAAATCCCTCTTAACCGGAACTCTCCAATAACCAGAAAATTTTCCCAGTATGTACTTAGAAAATTCTTGAAAATTCTGGGGATGGGGGATTTTTTCTGGCTTTGAGAAATGAAATAATGCGTCATTCTTGAAACTCCGAAAAAATCCGGGAATGGGGAATTTTTTTCCGGCTTTGAGAGAGTTCTCTCCTTTTCTTTTTTGGCCTCTAACCTCTCCTTACAGGCAAACCTTCTCCACACATTTTATCACGTAACTATCCTAACAAAAATATCTATCCTAGGTGAATTAATTAAGCCACACGTCCATGCAGCACCCTGTGAACGACGTCTTGTAGTCCATGTCTGTGACTGTTGTTTGTTTAGGGACTGAGGATCAGGTTAGGGTAAGTGGTACTCAAGTCAAGATCAGTGGCACCGAGTCATTGTCACTCAAGATCACCTACAGTATTACTGAACGTCACTTGCACTTACATTTGGGTATCACACTGTTTGCTATTGTAGGAGCCATCAGGGTCACACTTGAGGAGGGTACTCGGGCCTTGTACACCCTTGAAGGCCATGAGGTCTACCAGTTCAGCGTAGGCCTCGTATTGGCTCTCACAGCGTCTCAGGTACTTCTCGCCCATTTCTGTCTTGTTGTCTGTGGAGGTTAGGTTAGGTGTGAAGGATAGGTTAGGTGTGAGGGTTAGGTTAGATTTGGTGGTTAGGTTTGGTGTGAGTATGTGAAATGCTCTGGTAACATAAATATCTTCTAAGAGAACATGAAAATGATGAACAAGTTCAGCGACGTAAACGCCTCTTTGCTGTGTGACGTCGGACAGTGTGGTGGCCAAAAAGGGTGAGGATGTTACTGATTTTTTTAAATTTTGTTCTCTTTATGGTATTTATCCTACCAGAGTGTTTCACGAGCTAATTTTTATTTCCCTAAGTGCGAAAATTATCAGAGATCATCGTAGAAAAGTTATAATCCCTTAAAATATCACAATTTAAATACAATAGAATAAATAGTAACAAACTGTAGTAAATATTCACGTGTCCGTCCACCAGCCAATCAGCTGCCTTATTAAAAACTGACCGTAGGACTCACAGTTTTAAAGGTCGAGTAAACAGAATAAAGATGTTGAGATATTATATTACTTATTATATTACTTTATGGTGAGGTATATTATTTTATGGTTATTTATTTTTTACTTGATGGTCAGATGTATTTCTTATGGTGAAATATATACATGTACAGAACTATGTTACTTTTACCATAACAGAAGAGAGGAAACACTTACAACAAGGCAAAAGGCGAGTAGCTTTTTCAGGTAGCCGAGAGCCATAAGGTTGGGCAGTGTCGGGGTCCATACAGTAACACCATTCGTCCTCACACTGCAAGGGCTCGTAGTTACCGTTTTCCTGACAGTGTAGAGTTACCGACGTCACTCCTTGCTGCTGTAACTCCCACACTCTCCTGGAACACACTTTTATCCCCCCACGAGTGCCCCCATGTCATTACACTTGTCTCAATGTTATAAGTACTGATTATTAGTAATATTTTTTCAGTATGTAGATATGTCTGAATTTGAGAGACAGACAGACATAGAGAGAGATATTCGACGAAAACCTTAATGAATTTGCATGATTACACTTAGGCGTCTGGGTCTGGTCCAATATACTCACTACAGTTCATTGACTTGAAAAGATCCATCTGCAAGGGGAAGGCCGCCCCATACAGTGAGTTACCATCAGGGTCCACACACACACACCTGTTAGGGGCGGGGAGAGACACACACACATAGTACTTTGCACGACAGGTAAAAAATTTTGACCGTGTTAGTAGGGATTATAACATTCACTTGTTCTATGGGTAACTTCCACAATGCCTCACCTTTGCTCTCCAATGGGTCCCTTACACTGCTTGGGCGCAAAATCACCTTCAACAGTACACTGAGGTCGCCAGCGGTAGTCGTCTCGGAAATGTACATATGTCTCCCCGTTGATGCCTGCCACCGCCTCGTCGTACAACATCTGGGTGTTGAGGCAGGATGATTTTTCCCAATCTGTTGAGGGGTTAGTTTGTTAACTCCTGATAAGCCAAGATGATGAGCAAAATATGAATTCCTGTTTGTGAGTTTGTGAGGTGTTTGTTTTGATGTAGATGGGATGGAAGTTTGCAGTAGTTGAGATAATGAAAAGATGGATGGATAAGTTAGGTGAGGTTAGATGGGATGGAGTATGTAGATGAAGGTGAGGTGAGACGAGAGGTGATATGGATTAAGTTCCCAATTTTAAAAGCAGCTGTAGAGAAAATGAACAAGGGTTTAAAAGGCTAGTGAGGTTGATTAGCTTTGAGCAGAATTTCCAAAATGTGTGTCTGAATCTTTTAAAGTTAATACCTAGACAGCCGGGAGTTTCTGTGTTGGACTACTGTACAGTATATGACGCCACGGACGAAGGATTTTGATAACCCTACCTAGACAACAGGAGTCGCTGTTTTCATTTTGAAATTCACCGAACCTCTCCGTGAAGATAATTTGTGGATAGCTTCATAAAACATGCATGTAAAATTTTATTAAGCACCATTTTAATAGAATTGTGAGAGAGAGAGAGAGAGAGAGAGAGAGAGAGAGAGAGAGAGAGAGAGAGAGATCTTACCCAGCTGACACATGTTGGACTTGCAGTAGAGGTGGTAGTTACACCAGGAGGAAGCCACCACATTTCTGTCTGAGGGCTTCGTTATACTGCCACCCACGTCGTTGGTATATCCTCCGCCGTACTCTGGGTCGATGCTGCCTGTACACTTTTCACCTATCTCTGTGTGGTTGTAGGGGGGGCAGGACAGGTATTGGGTGATTTACAAAGCTTGTGTTAGCGTGGAGGAACATAGAGCTGTGAGGGCCGGGCCTATAGTTAAATGACCCCAGTACATAATTCAGATATATACCTGTGCTGTCTAGTGCTGAGTGGATGATGTGTTAAAACTTAAACCCATATAGTTTATACCTAACCTAACCTAGTTAAACTAAGTCCTGATTTAACCTATCATTTCCTTACCTATTGTACCCTATCTATTTAACTAAAGCTAACACTTCTTACCTAACCTAACCATTTTAACCGTTCATTTTAGTCGACCTTCTCTCAGACACTACCTGCCCCCTCACACACACTTACGTCTGAACTGGACACAGGCTCCACAACAGCCAAATTGGGCGACACCTTCCATATAAATTGTATCTTCAGGACAGTCATCAGCATGCAGTGGCTCCTGGCAGCTGATGTAGAGGCACAGCTGTTGGTCATACACGTCTATATGTATTTAAATATAACATCGATATATATGGATTCTATGCAAATTTATAAACAAGAATTTAGCTATACAAAAAGATATACGGTTTGTGTTTGTAGAGGCCCTTGATGTTGGTGTTTATGGAGTCCCTTGGTGTTTGTGTTTACAGAGTCCCTTGGTGTTTGTGTTTACGGAGTCTCTTGATGTTGGTGTTTATGGAGTCCCTTGGTGTTTGTGTTTGCAGAGTTCCTTAATGTTTGTGTTTACGGAGTCTCTTGATGTTTGTGTTTATGGAGTCCCTTGGTGTTTGTGTTTACGGAGTCTCTTGATGTTTGTGTTTACGGAGTCTCTTGATGTTTGTGTTTATAGAGTTCCTTAATGTTTGTGTTTATGGAGTCACTTGGTGTTTGTGTTTACAGAGTCTCTTGATATTCGTGTTTACTTACCGACTGATCGTCTCTACGGATTAATTCGTTGAGTTTGGCAATACCAAAGTCCACTGGTGCTGAAACCGTTCTGACGTCCGCCATCCCCAGAAGTCCAACCACTTGCATCACTATCAGCGCCATTACCACACTGGATTGCTGTTTAGCCATTGTGCATTTCTTTACTATGGTCGTTTTTATTTGCGCTTTTCACTTCACTATTTTCTGTCTCAAATAATGTATCTTTTTGTGTTGTTTCTTCTTTTATTTTTCTTTCTATGCTTTTATTTCTTATAATATTTTTCCTTTTATGATTTGGTCTTTTAATATTTTTCTCTCTATGCCTTTATTTCTCTTATTTATTTTTGCCGTCTTTTGCCACCTACTTCTTCCCCTCTCCTCAGTATTTTGGATTTTTCCGCTTTTCCTGTTCTTGAGGTTTGTTTTCCCGCACTTTTACCGTTTCCTGCGCTTTTCTGCTTTGAGGTTCTATTTCCTGCGTTTGTTGTTCGGAGGTTTTATTTCCCGTCCTGTCTCCCGCGTTCTTCCAACATCTGTTCCTTAATGCGAAAGTTTCCCTCCTGTACCCCCACACTCAACCTTAAATTGTACCCACATTACCTTAAGTTGTACATTACCTTAAGTTGTACCCACATTACCTTAAGTTGTATCCACATTACTTTAAGTTCTACCCACATAATAGGTAACTTAAATCTGATGTAATGAGGTAAAAACAGTGCTAAAGGTATTTGTGTTATCAGTGCATTATCAAAGGTGTTAATGATAAGTTATCTTGTGGATAACTCGCGTGACGTTATCGTTAAGTAACTAAGAATCTTGATAAAAACTATATTGACTTAGAAAAACAACAACATTGCTCCAAGAATTGATAGCTATGGTGTATCTTAAGTTAGCGAATCTGCCAATCAGAGGCCTTCTTTATTGTTGTTCATACCACTTGTGTTTATGTATGGCAACAAGGGAACCAGATCTAGGGGAGTTTTATGTATATAGACATTATCAAGTTTATGTAGTTGATTTTTTGTAATCGGATTTTTAGCGAGTCAGAGGAATTACTGTACTTGTCATCGTGTTTTATCACCACCACTACTTCCACCACCACTACCACTACTTCCACCACTGTTTCACCACTACAACTACTATTACTACTAGCATCACCACTATTTCATTACTACTACTATTACTACCACCGTCGTGTTTCATTACTGCAACATAGTACTACAACAAACTACTACTGTGCTACTTTTTTCATATACTGTATATGGCCTCCAACCTCCCTTTATAGGCACACCTTCACCATTTTCTTACCCAACTCTCCTAATACAAAGGTGCTGTATCTACCCTAGCTGAGTTAGTTAAGCTGCAGATCTATGTGGCATTTGGTGACTGTTGCCTCATAGTCCATATTTGCGACTGTTGTTGGCTTAGGGGCCGAAGATCTTGTTTCTCTGTGTCTGTTTGTCTGGTGAAAATTATAATATGGGTCAGTTTTCCTCTTTTTTTCCCACATTAATTAGTGTCTCAATAATGGAGTGAGTATTGCATGGAAAATGATGCCATGAGGATAACTTTTGTCTTCTTCCTGAACTGACTTACCCTGACCTGAACTGACCTACCCTTACCTGCCTTAACCTACTCTGACCTACCTTGACCTGAGCTACCCTGCCCTGACCTTGTTACACTGGCACTGCGTTAAAGGGATCACGTGCAGTACACTCCTCGGGGTTTTCACCTGTACTGAGCTCCTCAAGGGGTGTTGGTGGGTGCTGGATTCCTGTGTGTTAATCCTTCCTGTGTTATCTGGTGTCTGCTGATAAACCCTCGCTCGCTGCCTTGGGTGTTACTGTGTCAACTATGTCAACCTTATCTTGTCTGTCAGTCGTGTGTGTGTGTGTGTGTGTCTGTCTGTCTGTCTGTAAAGTATCCAGCCATTTACTATTAAAAAAATATTACTTACCTAGGACAATGGCGCCTTAGTCCCCTTCAAAGTACTCCCCTTGGGACCTCACACACTTCTCCCAGCATCCCTTCCACTTATCAAAACAGTCTGCAAAGTCCTCTTTCGGGATCTTCATCAGCTGCCTCGTCGCATTCTCCTTAATCTCGTCCACGGTCTGAAATTTCCTCCCTTTCAACGGCGATTTTAGCTTTGAGAAAAGCCTGAAGTCGCAGGGAGCCAAATCTGGGCTGTAGGGGTGCTGAAAGACCTGGGTGATGCGGTGTTTTGCCAAAAAACCCTGCATGAGACGTGAAGAATGGGCAGGCGCGTTGTCATGATGAAACTGCCAGTCACCACTTGCCCACAGCTGCGGTCGTTTTCTTCTTACCGCTTCCCTCAGTCGGCGAAAAACTTCGATGTAGTACTCTTTCGTTATTGTTTGGCCAGGACGAGATTAAGGAAAATGCGACGAGGCAGCTGATGAAGATCCCGAAAGAGGACTTGGCAGACTGTTTTGATAAGGCGCCATTGTCCTAGGTAAGCAATATTTTTTTAAATAGTAAATGGCTGGATACTTTCCGGACAGACCTCGTATATCTGTGTCATATTTGTGTCAATTGGTGGTAAGGGCAAATAAAAAAATAATATTAATTTTAATGTTTTATATACAAACATACATAACTTTTAATAATCATACTTTAGTTGTTTACTGTACTACAAAATTACACGAGAAATACCTAATATAAAACAATATATATAGTAGATAATATTGTATAGTACAGTAGTGAGGATAGTAAGGTAAGGTAAGGTAAGGTAAGGTAAGGTAAGGTTTGGTTTGGTTAGGTTCGTGTGTGTGTGACGTGTTGGAGGATTAGCTACAGTGCCATCCTTCAAGTGCCTCCTCTCGTTAGTAAGGTCGTTCAGGCACTCTGAGGCAAAGTTGGGGTGTAACCAACGTACATATCATCACTACACTCATGACAGGTCTTGTTACAGTCGCTGCGGTTCCCATTCTGGCAGCTCATCCCTGCGGTACAGTTCAACTTGTCTCTGTATTGGCTGTAAACCTGTGGGTACATGAGTCTTGTATTACAGGACTGAGATATAGTTATTTAAGAGTCATGTGCACCTGTAATATACCTGAATACAGATAATTACAGTCATTACTACACCTGTACCTAGGCTCAATATACATGTACAGTCAGCCAAAGACACACCGACCCCACCCTCGCAATTTTACCTGTTAATACTTGGTAAAGGAAGGCTGTATGTAAAGGTGATTGTGATTGGTGGATCTGTTTTTGGCTGTATCACTGTCAGGATAATAATTAAACAAACCAAGGGTAGAATTTATATAATAATAAACTATTCATTGTTATTTAAGGTCATGAGAAGTTTCCAAATATTCGTATATTTGTTTAAATAATGAAGAAAATTTGATGTGAGAATCTTGTGGCATTTGTGGTTGTAGAGTTGTGGTTGTGTTTTCCCATGCAGCTCCCCCACACCCATGACCCCCACACCCATGACTCCCCACACCCATGGACACCACACCCATGACCCACCCATGCATCCCCACACCCATGACTCCCCACACCCATGACTCCCCACACCCATGACTCCCCCACACCCATGCATCCCCCCACCCATCCCCCCACACCCACTGACTCACCATTGGTCCAGCTCTCACACCATCAGGGTCAACACAATAGGCAGTGCCGCCAAAGACCTGGATCTCGTAGTACTGCCCAGCGACTGCCTGGTCTGGGGTGGCGCATTTCAGTGTTGTAAATAAGTGTGCCTCGGTGAACAGGATCTTGTCCCTCGCACAGTCTGGGGGTAAAGGGGAGGTGGGTGAGTGTCTGTCTGTCTGTGTTGTGTTTTTCATTTATAATGTGTGTGTGTGTGTGTGTGTGTGTGTGTGTGTGTGTGTGTGTGTGTGTGTGTGTGTGTGTGTGTGTGTGTGTGTGTGTGTGTGTGTGTTTTTTACCTGAACCCAGAATACAGAGAGGTATTACATAAACTCGTCAACTCATTTCGTATGTTACAAAACAATCATTAACGACCTCACTTGTTACATAACCAAGATACATACACGCGTTATATAAGATACATAAACAAAGTACACATACACGCGTTATATAAGATACATAAACAAAGTACACATACACTCGGTACAAAAGATACATAAAGTACACATACACTCGTTATATAAGATACATAAACTGATTAAATACAAAAGACGCCACGAAAAAGTCATCAAGATACACAGAGAACACGTGAACACTATACATAAAATACAGGGAATGTGTTAATACACAAAGGCGATACATAATACAGCTACTCACTACAGTCTCGTACGGCAGGTTGGGCAATCATCTCGTCGTATTGATCGTAGCAGCGAGCCCTGTAGATAGATACAGTGGGTGAAGATGGGTTAGTTGTAAAGTGTATCAGTCAGCTCTATGAATGCTGATCTTGAATGACTTGATACATGTAGGAAAATACATTGCTGGGGGGGGAGTGGGCGGCTATAATGTCTGGATTATCACGCACATACAGGTATACATGCATGTACACAGACACAACTCACAGGCCATCCAAGTCATGCTGTAACCCGCCAAAGGACCCGTCATCATCACAGTTAAGGAGAGTGGAGGGTGGGTAGACGCCTTTTCTCTGTATGTGTGTGGCCAGGAGGTGCTCTGCGTGGTACTGACTCTCACACCGCCTCAGATACTGTTCCCCCGTGACCGTCTTGTTGTCTGGGGGAGGTAAATATATGCTTTGAGGTAACTAATATGTTGCAGTTTGTTTAGCCATTTGGAATACCTGAGGATAAGCTCCCCTTCCTCCCCTCCTCTTTCAGTTTATTTGACCTTAATTTAGTCCAACTTAACCTGATGAATACCCAAAGCTTATTCCACCTCAACCTAACCTGAAGATTAGTCCCAAAGCTTATTTCACCTTATATGAACTAAGCTTAATCTAACCTAACCTAAAGATTAGTCCCAGAGCTTATTTCACCTTAACCAAATTAAGTTTAGTCTAATCTAACTTAAGATTGGTCCCAGAGCTTATTTCACCTCAACCCAACGTAACCAATTCTAACCTAATGTGAAGATTACCCGCAGCTTATTTCACTATGATTGACCATCCTAGCCTAAAATTACCTTCACACAGGTGGCATTTGGGAATTTAATCATCAGGTGAAATAAGGTGATGGGTGGCTAATGGTTAGGTTAGGTTAGAATAGAATAGGTAATGGTAGGTTATGGTAGAATTGAATAGATGAGGATAGGATAGAATAATTTAGCTTAGGTTAGGTTAGGTTATCAGGAAATATGTACACATTATTAAGTACACACCAGGGAGAAAGTACACAGCAGTACTCACAACAAGGCAGATGTTCCTTCATAGCATCAGGGAAGGAAGAGCCATAAGGTAGGGCAGTGTCGGGGTCCATACAGTAACACCAGTCGTCCTCACACTGCAAGGGCTCGTAGTTACCGTTCTCTTGACAGTGTAGAGTTACCGACGTCACTCCTTCCTGCTGTAACTCCCACACTCTCCTGGAACACACTTTACCACCCACGAGTACCCCCATGTCATTACTCTTGTCTCTATGTTATAAATACTGATTATTATTATTATTATTTTATTACTGTATTATTATTATTATTATTATTATTATTATTTTTATTATTATTATTACATACATATCATACATACATACATACATACATCCACATGGCAGCCATCCAACGTCTTAACAGATAAAGAATTAGATTGAAGATAAACTTATTCTTTTCCCTATCCACCTTCTGCATTGGTAGATACACTAAGGGATAGACCAACACTCCTATCCATCGTACTGAAGGGATTAAGTCATCATACTCAAGGGGTTAAGTCATCATACTCAAGGGTTATGTCATCATACTCAAGGGTTAAGTCATCGTACTCAAGGGTTAAGTCATCATACTCAAGGGGTTAAGTCATCATACTCAAGGGTTATGTCATCATACTCAAGGGTTGTCATCATACTCAAGGGGGTTGTCATCATACTCAAAGTGGTAATTCATGGTACTCAAGGGTTAAGTCATCGTACTCGAGGTGTTAAGTCGTCGTACTCAAGAGCTTAAGATACGTACTGCAGTTCATGTTGTCATACAAGTCCCTCTGCCAGGAAAAGGCTTTACCATATATACTGGTTCCGTAGGCGTCCACACACACACACCTGTTGGAGAGAGGTGGTGAGGGAGAGTGGTGGTGTGAGGGAGAGTGGTGATGGTGAGGGAGAGTGGTGGTGTGAGGGAAGGTGGTGATGGTGAGGGAGAGTGGTGGTGTGAGGGAGAGTGGTGGTGGGAGTGTGGGAAGGTGGTGATGGTGAGGGAGAGTGCTGGTGGGAGGGGAGAGTGGTGGTGGTGAGGGAAGGTGGTGATGGTGTGAGGGAAGGTGGTGGTGTGAGGGAGTGGGTGTGAGGGAAGGTGGTGATGGGAGGGAGAGGCTGGTGAAGGGATGATAATGAGGGAATTTGATGGTGGTGGGGACACACACACACACACACACACACACACACACACACACACACACACCAAATGCCCCATGACCTGACCCAGCCCCACCCCCTTGTGACCTGACCTCTTATTGCTGTAGGGTCCCTTGCACTGCTTCTCTGTGTATAGTCCTTCAGGAGTACAGGAAGGTCGCCAGCGGAAGTCAACTTTGTAAAAGGGGAACTCGTCCAGGTCTGAGTCATACTGGTCTTGAACGTAGCGACAACCATGGTCTGAATTGTCTGATAGATAGATAGATAGATATTCAATAAATTTTTCCTACAAATTGATGTAGCATTGATATAGACAGTGCAAGTACACAAACAATATACCAAGACAGTGCATGTAGACAGGCAGTGGTAAACAGTAAGACCATTATACCAAGGATAGCCATCAAAACCAACCAGTAGGTCAGGTTAGAGGCACTGTGGGGCAGGAGGGGTCAATCTGGCACTGATGACCTTGATTACATTCTTACACCATCACAAGAACTCCTGGCACTGTAGCTCATAAACCATAGTAAGTAATAGGTAAGGGTGGCACTGTCCTGGCACTTACCTGGCTGGCATACCCCCTCCTCAGTGCAATTCAAGAAGAAGTCACACCAGGAGGAGACAAGGGTGTTATTGACCGGGTCACTGGAGGCCTCGGGGTCAAGCAGGTCAGGGGTCATGGAGCTGTACCCACCGCCGAATTTTGGGTCAATACTGCCAGTACATTCAGTGTCATTTTTTTCTACATGGAAGAAATAAAGTTGATGAAAAGTGTCGTACTGTTTTATTGGTTTATTATTATTATTATTAGTATTACATTATTATTATTACAGTATTATTAAAAAGCAACTTAGAGGTATTATTAGTGACACATATTCCCAAGGTGACATAGCACAATAATACACAATAAATCTACACTTGTTTAACTCACGCTTAAACCTGACACAAGCGCCACAACACCCAAACTGTGCCACCCGTTGCTGGTAGAAGGTTCCTATCGGGCAGTCAGCGGCCTTCACGGGCTCCTGGCACTTGATGTACTGGCACAGCTAACGAGAGATGACCAGCTCATGATGGTAACTTTATTATATAGTGGTAAAGTGTTGTATCCCAAGGTGACTGTCTCCCTCTGTTGTACCCCAAGGTGACTGTCTCCCTCTGTTGTACTCCAAGGTGACTGTCTCCCTCTGTTGTACCCCAAGGTGACTGTCTCCCTCTGTTGTACCCCAAGGTGACTGTCTCCCTCTGTTGTACCCCAAGGTGACTGTCTCCCTCTGTTGTATCCCAAGGTGACTGTCTCCCTCTGTTGTACCCCTAGGTGACTGTCTCCCTCTGTTGTATCCCAAGGTGACTGTCTCCCTCTGTTGTACCCCAAGGTGACTGTCTCCCTCTGTTGTACTCCAAGGTGACTGTCTGTTGTATCCCAAGGTGACTGTCTCCCTCTGTTGTATCCAGGTGACTGTCTCCTCTGTTGTACCCCTGGTGACTGTCTCCTCTGTTGTATCCCAAGGTGACTGTCTCCCTCTGTTTGTACCCCCAAGGTGACTGTCTCCTCTGTTGTACCCCAAGGTGACTGTCTCCCTCTGTTGTACCCCCAAGGTGACTGTCTCCCTCTGTTGGCCACTCAAGGTGGCTGTCTCCTCTGTTGTACCCCTGGTGACTGTCTCCTCTGTTGTACTCAAGGTGACTGTCTCCTTTGTTGCCCCTGGTGACTATCTCCCTCTGTTGTACTCAAGGTGACTGTCTCCCTCTGTTGTACCCCCTGGTATTTGTCTCCCTCTGTTGTACCCCAAGGTGACTGTCTCCCTCTGTTGTACTCCCAGGTGACTGTCTCCTCTGTTGTGCCCCTAGGTGACTGTCTCCCTCTGTTGTGGCCTTGCCCCAAGGTGACTGTCTCCTTTGTTGTACCCCTAGGTGACTGTCTCCTCTCTGTTGTACTCCCAAGGTGACTGTCTCCCTCTGTTGGCAGCACCCCTAGGTGACTGTCTCCCTCTGTTGTACCCCCAGGTGACTGTCTCCCTCTGTTGTACCCCTAGGTGACTGTCTTCCTCATTGTACCCCTGGGTGACTGTCTCCCTCTGTTGTACCCCTAGGTGACTGTATCTCCTCTGTTGTACCCCCAAGGTGACTGTCTCCTCTGTTATCCCCAGTGACTGTCTCCCTCTGTTGTACCCCAAGGTGACTGTCTCCTCTGTTCATACCCCAGGTGACTGTCTCCCTCTGTTGTATCCCAAGGTGACTGTCTCCCTCTGTTGTACCCCAAGGTGACTGTCTCCCTCTGTTGTACCCCAAGGTGACTGTCTCCCTCTGTTGTACCCCAAGGTGACTGTCTCCCTCTGTTGTACCCCAAGGTGACTGTCTCCAACTCCCCAAGGTGACTGTGACATATAATACCTGTACAATTATTATAATACTATTTCTATCCAAGATGCAAATTTATATGAGTACTGTATTTTTTTTAATCAATTTTTTTCACAACAAAGTATCATATATTTACCATCAAGCATATTTATAAGAGGATACTCACTGTTGTCGTGGTATTGTTAAGAATCTCGTTGAGTTGATCAATGCCAGGGGTGGACTGGTCATCTGTCGTCGCCTCCGTCACCACGACCAATGTTACCAACCAGACCCATTTCATGTCTAGAGGTGATGAGCAGCCTGTAGAGATGTTGAGAGCCTGTAGAGGTTTTGGTTAACTAGCCGTAGAGGTAATTAGAGGCTGTGGAGGTATTTGTTGACTGGCTGTAGAGGTAAGGAGAGGCTGTAGAGGTGTTTGTTGAGAGGCTTTAGAGTGTCTGTTGAGAGCCTGTAGAGACATTGGGGGAGTGAATGAATGAAAGTGAATGTTGTTCTGGTGAGGAAAGTTGAAAGATGTGTCACCTGAGGATTAACCTTCCCCCAAATTATTTCAGTTAAACTCCCCCGATGTTACCTGGGGGGTTATGGTTAAGTTAGGTTAATTTTGCATCAACTTAGGTTAGGGCTACTTTTGGTTTGTGTTAGGTTGGCATTAGCTTAGGTAACAGTTATTTTTTGGTTAGCGTTAGGTTAAGTTACCGACTCAACTCACGTTTCTGTGTTGGGATTTTCAGGTAATAAATACAGGTTAATCCTTAGTCCCCCGACGGTCGTTTCTTGAGTGCACTGAGAGAAAAGATGTGATGAGCCTGTAATTAATATACGCACGACACTGAGAATATATGTCATATCTCCTGTGTGACCAATCGATGCTAATAATCAATGATAACACTCGATTGTCATGTGATAAGACATGTATTCACATATTGGGGATAATTTATAATACTGGAAGAAACTTTATTAATTGATGGGCGGGCGGGGGAGCTGGAGCATGGTGACAGGTTAAGTGAGTTGTGTGTGTGAGGTAAGGTCTTGGTGTTAAGGTGTTGTTGTTATGGTGAAAGTTTGTTATGGTGAAAGGTGTTATCCAGTGTTATCAGTTCTGGGTGTGTTATCATCTTATCTGGCGACTTGTGATAGTGTTTTGTGTGGGTCTTGTCTCTCTGCCTTATGCATGTATACTGTACTTGACACACACACACACACACACACACACACACACACACACACACACACACACACACACACACACACACACACACACACACACACACACACACACACACACACACACACACACACACACACACACACACACACACACACACACACACACACACACACACACACACACACACACACACACACACACACACACACACACACACACACACACACACACACACACACACACACACACACACACACACACACACACACACACACACACACACACACACACACACACACACACACACACACACACACACACACACACACACACACACACACACACACACACACACACACACACACACACACACACACACACACACACACACACACACACACACACACACACACACACACACACACACACACACACACACACACACACACACACACACACACACACACACACACACACACACACACACACACACACACACACACACACACACACACACACACACACACACACACACACACACACACACACACACACACACACACACACACACACACACACACACACACACACACACACACACACACACACACACACACACACACACACACACACACACACACACACACACACACACACACACACACACACACACACACACACACACACACACACACACACACACACACACACACACACACACACACACACACACACACACACACACACACACACACACACACACACACACACACACACACACACACACACACACACACACACACACACACACACACACACACACACACATATATATGTTCGTTTGATACACACATGTTCCTCCCATATGGGATACACATTTTCGTGACATGTATACTGTACATGCATTCATATACTGTACTGTACATACATGCAAGTGACGCATCCTTATAGATATACACGTGTGTGTTTGTGTACGTATGTTAGTATACCTGACGTACATACTGTACTGTAGATGCAATGCATGACAAACAAAAATACCTGAAGATAAATAAACATATTTAGTGGATACACATGGAATTTTGTGATATATATAGACATGATGCCAATGTACACTGTAAAAAAACTACCATACAGGTGGGGTCCAATGCTTTTCCAACTGAACATTCCCGTTGTCTCGTGAGGGTTGGTAGTCCGGAATGTGAGATATTTCATATTTAAATTGGTAGGCTGAAATAAGCTATTTCATTGACAATATTGAATTACTTTGTGACAATATGATTGGAGAATGTCAGTATATCTAGATAAGTTAAACTGTATGTTATATTAGGCTGCTACAACACCGCTCACAATGTATATTCCACATGGAGAAATGAGGCATAGAGTTACGATCAAGTTTCAAATTGTGTTAGTGTGGCAGCACTAACTCTGACTCGTTTCAGAGTGCCTATCACTTTTTTCGAGCACGTGTGGCCGAACCCATACACGTGTTAGGCTACCAATGCGAGGAATGCCTCAAGGGCCTTTTTGAAATACATCGTTTGTCATGTTAGTTTCTTTCGCACAGGAATTGTAACGGTAGTTTTTTACCAAGTGTACACACAGATATACATGACATGTGCACAATTGACACATGAGCTGTGGTGGCTAATCTTGAGGTGAACTAAGTTGGGGCTAATCTTCAGGGTTTAAGTACAGGTAGACACACAGGTAAAATTGTACACATTACTAAATGCAGATGATGTTACAAGTACAGTATGATGACAGATAAACATACAGGTATAAGAACAAGCACAGGTACAGGCAGATACACAACACATAGAAGAAACAAACACAGTACAGTAATAGTAAAGGTACACAAATCTCAATGTGATAACAACCAGCTTAATGGGACAAGAATTTCACAGTAAATTTTTATCATGAAGTCCCATAGCATGTCATAGTCTTGCAGCCTTACTGATAAATGTATACTGGACTTTTTAATTAGTGTTGAGGAAGGCATAGTCCTTTGTGATAATGTCTTGATAAGGGTAGGAGAGAGGGTTTATGTGTGTGTTTTGATCAGGGTAGGAAAAAAAGTGTGTGGGTGTGTGTTAAGGACAGTAAGACATTGATAATTCTCATATATTTCTTTCTCGTATTTCTCTCTTATTATTGCTATTATTATTATTATTATTATTATTATTATTATTATTATTATTATTATTATTATTATTATTATTATTATTATTATTATATTCGCTGTTCTTGGGAGTTGTAGGCCTCACAAAAGTAAGCTGTACAGGTCAGCATACCTCCTTCCTTCCTTCCTTCCACATTCAAACTAGGGAATTCTCTCTTCTGTAATGCATTTGAAGTCCATCTTACAAACTGTCTTCCTCTGGTCTTTGTGAACTTACCTCTGTTCCTTCCCAACAAGGCAGTTACGTATTTGGTTTGCCTGTATTGTATCATATTCATCTCACTTAAGCTTACTGAGAAACCTGATTGTAACCATCTTGAGAGAGTTATTACTGTACACGGTGATTCTAAACTCCCTGACCACCTGCTTTGATTAACGATGCAGTTATTCCATGTTATATCTACCTTGTTATATATTTTGTTCTACTCAGAGTAACGATTGCAAATGTTCTTCATGTACTTAGAGATATGATACTATTTTTATTATCTACTGTAGGTATAACAAGGTAAATAACTATTAGATTTATGGTTAATGTGTAGGAGCAAAATTATCCATCTTTGGCACTACTGAAGACACCTTGAGCAGAGATTCTTTGACCTCAGAGTCTACCTTCTGGTTCTTAATTGTAGGCAGCTACCAAACAGGGAGGTACTGCCACCTGGGAAGATATTGGAAGCATAATGAGTTGTCTAATGGTAGACCCTGCTGCCATATGGCACCACAAAAATTGTGACCAAATCCCAGGTTGCTGATCCGACTTTCTGCCTCATTTACACACAATTGCAGGGTTAATGACCATTCTTAGCTCACATGAACCCTAAATTTCATCCTTCATTGAATTTTAACCCCTGGAGGACACAACCCACACCACCAGCAATATGGCTGGTCACACTTCTGGATATACATTAACCCACGACTGTTTTAATATATTTCTCGTGGGCCCAGTATAAATTCCCCATATATAATGAGTGATACGAGTGTTAAGTTATGTTTTAGGTTGTTCCTAAACTGTATTATATGTGTAGGTAAAGGTTAAGAATAGATATGTTTAGTTTTTTTTAATTCTGTATTTTGTTTACTCACAGTTATAGAAATCATATTTATTTTGACTTTGTTAAGACCAATAAATTATATAATCTTAAGGTAAAACAGGTTCTGTGGTGTAAAGGCTATGTATAGTACAAAGAGATAAGAAAGCACCAACAGGAATATCAGAGTATTTATATTATCTAAGAATTCCACAGAAAAACACATTAAGTCCACAATCAACCTGTAAAATAAAACTTATCAAGGAGAAGTACACAGAACAGAATATGGGAAGAGCTTTGTTCAACCTCTGGTCAACGGTTTTAACTGCTGAGTTGAATGAGATAGTCACAAAGCATACAGATGAAATAGAAAACAATATCGTATTTACCCACTAGAAATACATCCTGTAACATACCTGCTCAAGGAAGGAAATAATATGCTATCAGAGTGTTTTGTTTTGCATGTGTGTATACAGTACGTACTGTACAGCTGTCTGCTACACACCATCCACACAATCATTCTATTGAGATTATGAACACAAATGGCAAAATATCAATACAGCATTCTTTTGTCATCTACTACAGTACTAAAAAAATGTTTGTTCCACTATACTGTATATACTGTACTATACTATGAATATCTCAGAAATACAGAGGCACAATCATGTACTGTATAGCTAAAACTTATTTGATAGAGTACATATTGAATAAAAAAATATATAGTCAGTTTCAGATGTTGTGATCTATAGGAAAAACAACGTACCGTAACACACGATTACTGACACTTTCTTTTTAAGCCTTCGGTACCTGATGAAATTTATAACTTGACAAAGGGGACAAAGTTGGTACTCTTTTGTGTTTTAAGTAGAACAAGTGTTGACAACATCTAAACGATTACCATCAGGAAATTTTAACAAAACTTTATAGCACCATGAGAAATTCTTATACTCGTGACACTCCATCATATATAAAGTAAACACAGTACGTATTGTGATGTTTCATATGTACCCAAGACCAATGTACTCAAGACCAATGTACTCGAGACCAATATACTCAAGACCAAGGTAATTTGGGGAGGTAAACCAAGACCATGAAACTGGCGATGGATATTTAAGTAATGGATGGACTATGAGCGTGTTCTGAACCACCTTTAAGTCAGTATTGATTCTATGTACATTTCTGTGTGCTAGACTGATCAAGTGCAAAGCATTCAAGACTACTAAAGCAACATCATAATAGGTAGAAACCACTTATTAAAAATGACATGCCACATGCACCAATACCTCAATTATCTAAGTGGTTACTTAGCTTAAGTCTTCTAAAATACTGACAAATTTATGTACTGTATAGAAAGATTTGCATTAAGCCTGAAAACTACTTCAGTCATCAAGCTGAGACACAGGACAGTCTCCTTGTTGTCTCAGTCTTATGTTAATGGCAAGAGAGACCTTGATACTGTACAAGTGTCACTATATAGTTCTCCTCCTTGCGAGTGTGACGGTAGAGTTCTGCTGAATCCTGGTTCAGTACAGGTGTTGAGAGGAGCATGAGGAAGTACTTTACTGTACATTAACCCGTTTCTTGGATTAGTGATTAACATTACCATAAGGCCACCTAACTTACACGCACACTGAGGCTATAACTGTACCATTAGAATATATAAAATAAAATTTGATATTGTTTCATATGATTTTTTCTGTCATTCTGAAGTTAATATAAGACAAATAAAACATCTGGAACGTTGGGAGACTTAGGATGATGAATTTAATAGATATTTACGCATTCTAACAGAGGTCATCACTTTACCCATTCACAATTTTTTTTCCAAGTCAGGGAGTGCTAAAGCTATCCTGACAGCATGTTACATACAGTATAACAACTTCATCTAATGCCAGGATGAATTTCATTTTATATTTTCCCTGTGATATCTTATACATGGAGAATACTGTACTGCTTAACTTTACAATAAATAATACAAATTACATTTATAATTAACATATTTGCTTAGCAAACAGTTGTGGTATCATTGTGTGCAGCTCGTAACTCATGTGGGAGTCTCAGGCCCACCATTACAGTGCAAGCTGTTGCCAACGTCCAAATGTTGAGGCGTTGGACTGACGCGGGCATCTCTTGATTCACGTAAAGGCTCCATGCCAGAAAACCATCCATAAATGGTTGTTTCGTGAACCGAGGGACGCCCGTACTGTCGTTGTTGTGACGTGAGATTGCCGGTACTTAAGAATACATCGTGTTCTCAACCCATTCCTCTAGTGTAAAGGTGGCACTTAAGGTCTTGTCTGGGTCCCTCTCCTGGAATATCTCTGTAACAAGGAAGTCAACTGTTAGCTTGTGGGGTTTAATTTCATCTCGACTGGTTACAGTGCAGTAAAATATTTTAGCTTAGGTAGATATTTATTGATGTGTTATGTGAGTGATGTACATTTAGACACTGAACACTTTTTAACTGAAAACTGCCAACTATGAAAACTTCAAAAAAAATTTTGTACAACGAAAAAATAAAAATAAAAATTGATGTTAAGAATCAAATCAGTGAAGTTAATTATAATAGTCACTCCATTACATATTTCTCATTACAATTATGGTAAGTCTAATAAGCACTACAGGTGACAAAATACCATAACTAATTCATGGTACAGTACTGTACTGACAGGCTTAGTGACATATCAACCATGCTTCATTAGCAACTGGTGTCTCTTGTCTGATATCCTTATGGTGTGATTTAATTTTGTTTATTCATGCAAAAAGTTTAGGAAAATACAAAAGTATCCAAAATTTTCATTACAAGTTAATATGTTATATTTTCAGTCTTGGTGGCCCCTTAGGTTGACCGTGAATAATAATAATAATCTATAATGACGTCTACAGATAATAATATACAGTATTAGTATAATAATTAGCATCAAAATATACAGTATTTCTACTTTCATGCCTTTGTGTTATTGGTGTTACCACAATGCCTACATAGTGCAGCTCAGTAACACAGTGTTCAGTACACCATCAGGGGTTTGGTAAGTAGTACAGTAGTGTGTTAATAAGCATGAAATGGGAAGACAATTTCAAGTATAAGGATGCAGTGTTAGAGAGAAAGTGAGTGAGTGAGAAAGTTAAAACACACACAGGTTAGTGGATCATAACACATTCTTGCAGAACTATTAACTAAATATTAAATAAGTCCAAAAAGAAGCTGTGGAATAAACCCGCCATTCGACCAACAGCTGCTAAATAGCCATAACCTGTAAATGTATAAACTGTAAAGAGGACATTAGTCAGGTGCTTGTGTGTACGGCAACTGTGATGCAGAGAGAAGCGGCAGACACCACCACCAGAATAAACACAAACAATGCTAAGCCCAGGCATTAAGAGGCATCCGGTATGTAAATTTAAAATGGTAGAATAATTTAACCAGGACTCGATAAATTAAGTCACGTTAGAATTGTATTTATATTAAAGGCTGCCTCTTAATCATGACTTCATTGCATGTTAATTTAATATATTTTTACATGATCCATTTAGGCTTTTAGTGGTGGTAAATATTTCTTGTACTTTTTATTCCTTATTCCTCATCTTGTTCTTGTTCTTCCTCCTGCCCCTCCTGGTTCATCTCATGTTCATTCATTAGTTGTTCATAGAGTTCCTGTAGTTTCTCTGGGTCATCTTCACAGCCTGTGGGTGGTGGTAAGTACATACTGGGTCAGGGTGAAGTGTTATGTTATACACTAGGTGGTCAGGGTGAGGTGTTAAGTTATACACTAGGTGGTCAGGGTGAGGTGTTATGTTATACACTAGGTGGTCAGGGTGAGGTGTTATGTTACACACTAGGTCAGGGTGAAGTGTTATGTTATACACTAGGTGGTAAGGGTGTGGTGTTATGTTATACACTAGGTGGTCAGGGTGTGGTGTTATGTTATACACTAGGTGGTCAGGGTGAGGTGTTTTGTTATTCACTAGGTGGTCAGGGTGTGGTGTTATGTTATACACTAGGTGGTAGGTGGTCATGTTATACACTAGGTGGTCAAGTGTTAGGTGGTCAGGGTGAGGTGTTTTGTTATTCACTAGGTGGTCAGGGTGAGGTGTTTTGTTATACACTAGGTGGTCAGGGTGTGGTGTTATGTTATACACTAGGTGGTCAGGGTGAGGTGTTTTGTTATTCACTAGGTGGTCAGGGTGTGGTGTTATGTTATACACTAGGTGGTCAGGGTGTGGTGTTATGTTACACTAGGTGGTCAGGGTGAAGTGTTATTTTACACACCAGGTGGTCAGGGTGAGGTGTTATGTTATGCAGTAGGTCAGGGTGAAGTGTTATGTTACACACTGGGTGGTCAGGGTGAGGTGTTATGTTACACTGGGTGGTCAAGGTGAGGTGTTATGTTACACACTAGGTAGTCAGGGTGAAGTGTTATGTTACACACTAGGTCAGGGTGAGGTGTTACACACTAGGTGGTCAGGGTGAGATCAACACTTCACACATTGGTTCAGGGAATGAGGGTATGACTAGTGCTTCAGTGCCTTTCAGTGCAGAAGAAAAAGCCATCAGGTATTTCACACAGACTGGAACACTACGAGCATGAATAAATACTTAAGATACATCACAAAATAACATTAGAAATACACCTAGAATAAAATAATCACTATTGACTCCATGTCGACCAGGTGTTGTGACCACGTGAGGGCCATGAACACACTGGGTATGTAATGAATCCTGTGGGCCAATGCTCCCTCTCGACGCCACCCCACTTAAGAATGAGATGAGTCTTTACTACTTCCGAATATTAATTGCCTGTGAAACGCAAATCCCCATTACACTCACTGTGATAATTGAGCGTTAAGATGTTCAGTGTGGTGTGAGAACTAATGGTGCTGTGAGTAATGGGAGGTGTGGTGTTGTGAGAACTAATGGTGCTGTGAGTAATGGGAGGTGTGGTGGTGTGAGTAATGGTTGGAGAGAGAATTTGAGGACTGCATCAAGGGAGAGTTACGTTGCCTGAGTTATAAAAGTACAGTGCAATATGGGTAACTGAAATGAACCCAAGACAGTATAGAGTGAAAGTTGCCAAGGATGAAAGAAGAGTGCGAAAGAATGGCAGTAATGGGTGAAGAATTTATACAGTACAGTGAAACTTCCATTTAACAGATCATATGGAGAGGAAAATCCGTTATATCGAGGGCCTGTTATATGTGAAACCTCCATCTAATGAACTATATAGAAATAAAAGTCTGTTATATCAAGGATTCGTTAGATATGAAACCTCCATATAACGGATTATATGGAGAGAAGTTTCACTATTCAGGAAAGATCAAGGTAATGGTTTTAGGATGAAAATGATGATCAAATGTTACGTCATTGTGAATGGAAGTGGGATAAAAATTGTGAATGAATTTTAAATATTTTGGAGCAATGTTCTGGAAGATGGGGAATCTGTAAGCTGAATTTAACAACAGTACATTGAAAAGAAGAAGAAAAAAGTGGTGTTCTGAGAGTATTGATAAATGGGAAGAGTGTGAGTGTGTGTTTGTGTATGTAAAGTGTATGATATGAAACTGAAGTGATGTGGGTTGATGGTATGTGAGTGGGAGGAAGGTGTTGAGGTGTCACGTTAGATAATTAATGTACAAAGAATGATCGTGGGTTGTAGAGAAAGTCACTTCATATGTGATAATTGTAACATTAACTTATGGTACCTAACAACTCAAAACATTGTATACATTCTATATTGTTATGAAGTGTTGCAAATATTAACTCCTGTAGTATATTCTGATAATAAAATATAGGATCAAATTAATTACTTCCTAACACAAAGAATAAGGACAATATTTGAAGTTATTATCAGACAGAACAGTTACTTAAAATTATCAGTAATTGCCTGATGCTTAAGGCAAATTTACCTTCATTGTCATAGTTGATGCTTTTACAGTACTCCTTGTGGTCATATGCATTCAACACACACACACACCCCCCCAAGTAATGCAAAGGTTCAGTTTAAAACAACATCTTTTGCTTGTTCCATGAGTGTGTCTAATTGTGGTAAGGAAGACTTCAACTCGGCTAAATACTTGCTTCTATTTAACTCATTTATGAATGTTGTTAATTTCAAAACCCAAGAAACACAGAAGAAAAGGTACAGTAGTAAGTAAAGCATGTTGAAGAGTTTGTGTGAGAGGTAATGACTGAGGGAAGTGTGTGTGTACTGTACCTACAAACAGTGTGTAGGTGGGTGGAGAAAGTGTGTGTCTACTGTACACTGTGTGGGTGGAGGGAGAAAGTGTCTCTCTACCGTACACTGTGTGGGTGGAGGGAGAAAGTGTCTCTCTACCGTACACTGTGTGGGTGGAGGGAGGAAGTGTCTTTCTACTGTACACTGTTTGGGTGGAGGGAGGAAGTAAAGATAAATTAACCTTCATTGTATTAATGGGGTCATGTCACCTGATGATAAAGATCTTTTACACAAAAACAATCATTTAATAAATAACTAGTATGCTCATGTTGTGTACCATGTGTACACCTTTAGACTTCCAAAAGCATTTTATAGTAAAGACTGTACAGTACATTACAACTTAATTTTTTATATCAAATACATGCATCACCATTACTGTAAAAGACAAGACTCCAATAAATGTTCCTTCAAGTTCTGTCAATATTTTTAGTAAATCAGTTACGTAAGACCAATTTGATCTGTATATCTGCAAATGGTTCTCCCCGTGGCATACTGTCTTAAATTTCAAAATGTCTAGGAAAAATTTAATTCATAAAAATGTACAGTGCACGTTACTATAAAATGCTTTTTCGAAGATGTTGCAATGGTGTGGGAACATACAAGGTAAAGCTAACAAAACACTTCAGTAATACAAGGACAGACATTAACACTCCGATAACGTCACCTACCCATCATAGTTTTGAGCTTGACGGAACACATGATGAAATCGTCGAATGAGATTCTTCCTTCCTTATCACCGTAGCGGAGCATGAGGGCGTTACAGATGTGGTTGTTGAGGCGATATCCTGCAGAGTTCAGGGCCTGGCGAAGCTCAAAGGAACATAGGTGGCCGGAGTTGTCCTTGTCGTACAGCTTGAAGGCATTCTGGGGAGGGGGAGTAAGTTTATTCTGGGGGTAGAGTTAGTTTATTCTGGGGGAGGTAGAGTTAGTTTATTCTGGGGGAGGTAGAGTTTAGTTTATTCTGGGGGAGGTAGAGTTTAGTTTATTCTGGGGGAGGGGAATAACCGATGTAACTACTTAAATAACTAACATTCTAACTGATGTGTGTGTCAACAACTCTCACAGCTTCTCTCACCTTCCACACCCTGATGTCAGTCCACAGTTGGAGGAATTCTTGTAGGCCGAGTTTTCCCGAACGGTCGACGTCCATCATGGCGATCATGCTGCGACACACGTCCTTGGTGAAGCCGTCGAAGTTGAACTCTGTGTCCGATGTCATAGAACAGCGTTAACGAGATGAGATAGTTGGGAGTTGATGGTATGTCAGAATGTTTATCCATAAGAAGAAAGAAATAAAAGAATAAAATAGAAGAGAAAAAAATAAATAAAATAAAAACAGTGAGAGTAGCTAATAAAAAACAATAAATATTACAATAGAGAAATATAAAAGATAAAAAAAAATAATGAAACAGAAATGCTGAAACAAAAGACTATAAAAAAAATGCAATAAGCCAGTTGGAGTGAATCTAGATAGAACTTATGGATATCTTCCTGAACTACCATCAAATTCAGCTATTTTTATTGTATTTCATAATTTTATTTACTTTTTTTTTTTAAGCTGGGAAAGAAAGTGTTTGGTCTTTAGGGAATTGGATCAAAATTATGGGAGATAACAGAACCTGCTACTACTTTAATGAAACAAAATTTGCCAAACACTATTACAGTTACTAATGTGTAGAGCATTATTTTGCCTAGGGTTCACTTAAAGAATATTTGTGGGGCTGTCAATAAAGTGGTTTCAATAGTACAATCAAACATACACCAATATTATGCAAATTATGAACTAAATAAGACATTAATTAAAAGTTTTATATTAATTAATTCAGTATTTATTGAACAGAGAAAAAATCTTTAAATGGTTACACGGAATGAAGTTAAAGGTCGTTAAACTGAGCCAATCACCTCACATTTAGACAAGATCATCTCAGGTTTTCTTTAATTATTTGGCAAGACTTAAGATTGCCGGGAACTTAATCACCAGTGAAGATAAACATAGTTATTAAATCAGGCCACAACATAACCAAGGCCTGATAAGGTATAATTAGGTTTGGTACGAGGTAGTGATGTAGTTAGTTAGGACCATCAACAAGACCAGGCGTAATTTTAGCCTTTATGGATCACTTAAAGATTATTCTTCCCCCCCTTTCCCTCACCTCCCTCCTATCCTTCACCTTCCTCCCCTCCCTCTAACCCCCTCCCCTCCTTCTAACCCCCTCCCCTCCTTCTAACCCCCCCTTCCCCCTACCAGATAAGTTTGGGGGTAGTTAAACTTGAGGTTGGTTAAACTGGGGGGTAAAATTTGGGGTTATCCTCAAAGGCTAAAAACTCGAAGGGTCTTGTTTATGGTCGCGGCTACATCATGGGTATGATGATATGAGGAGGATTAGGGATAAGGGAACGGGACATCTGCAAAGTGAAGAGAACTGGACGTGGGCCGAGTGAAAGTAGCGTTCGTTCTACGGTGAATGTCGCACCGATAATAAACAAATGAAATAAATATATTACAGTAGACACTAAGCATTCAGAACTATTCGGTGTTTACGTGTGTACACTCATAGTTTGACGACGGGACTATTCTAGTGGTTACAGTGCGCTCGTGTCTTCTGTGTATGACGTGAGAGAAACACAACTTTTGAGGGGATGTTAGACTACCAGATCCATACAACTAATAAGCTGTAATGTCTTGTAACATATCCAATACATAACTAGAGTTTCTCATTGAGGTTACATCAGATTATTGTAATGATATATACACTAAATTTTAACGAGATGTGTGACCAGCTGGCACCTTAAGCCGCTGTTAAGACAAGGCTGAGAAACTTGTGAGAGAAATTTTAAAGATTTAGGGATACTTTACTGTATCCATTTTGAGGAGAGAGAGATAATGATGATACTTTTAGAGATACTTGGTAGTCCTAACATGCTTGCTGTAATTTATGTTCTGGTAGAAGCCCAACACCTTCATGCCACAATGAGCAAGTGAGAAGTATCTCAAACTTTTAGTCCATCAATACTGTATAGTACAGTGCACAGTGTAAGTTAATTTAGTATGTTCTGTTTCCTTATTTATATCTCATGGGATTTAATGTTTATTGTAATTGTTAAGTTTCTTTTATTTATTGTACAGGATGTGTTCATCAGGGACTGGTATTACTCCCAGATTTACACTTACAAGTATAGATAAAATCAAATATGAAAATTCTTTATTATAAACTTTTCACTTGAGATTCTGATACTGTACACAGGTGATGAACACTTGGTACTGTACTGTATTGTGGAGACACTAAAAGTTTGATTCAGTATATAAGAGTTAAAGCATTTAACATGACAGTATTTCTCAACTTGCTCATATAACAAGTCAACCTCCACCATATAACATGCAAGCTGTGTACTGTGGTGTGTGCTGTCACCCCTTACCGAACACTGATGATCGATGCCACGACAACACATGAAACATAACATGTAAATTAGAACGTGTAGAGTATGTAAGGCTGAGAAGAACACTTGTTACTCGGTCAAAGACACAATTACTTTGATCACAACATGCCATAAATCAAGAACCTACTTGTATATTATTTCACTTTCATCAATTAACAAAGAAACTCCACTACTGACCTCAATAATATTTTTACCAAACTCTTAAATTGTTTGAGAATCTCTTATGATATCTGAAGTCATTCAAACCTACATGACCAAATACTAACACAGTAGTTATATAAAGAAGATATGAGTCAGTCTTTCTTCCTGAGGATTTTATCTTCATCTTTGTTGTGTTTTCCTCAACCACAGCATCAAAGTTTAGACCGTCTTTATTACAATCACTTTACATATGTTCCTCACCAGATCACACTCACTTAAAGGTCCCACAGTCTTGTTTTTACTAATGAGAAGGTTGTACAAATGGTGGGATTACCAGACAGGTCTCTTGAGATTTAAAAATTTGGAACCTATATTGAGTCTTCTTTATACAAGGGTCTTATTCTTGCCTTTATGATATATATATACGACAAATTATTTCATGTGATGTTATTGTAATTCAGTATCTCTTACAAAGGAAGACTATACTGTAACTATTATTGTACTTTGTACTATTAAACTACACCTGCTGTACCTGAGTGTTAACCATAACCCCTACAATACTTTACCACAAAACTCAACTATGTATTAATTAGCTAATAATACCTAAAACAGGAAAATATATCCTCTAATACTACTCACTACAAGACAGTATACCTAATATTTTATAACTCATGAAAATTAACTAGCGAAAGTTATATATAACATGCATATTACTGTATCTACTGGTACTGTACCCAAAATACTGCTTTATGCTGTATCAAGACTACTACACATGATGAGTTGATTATGTGTTCTGTTACTTTTCTCACTTTCAAAGTAGCTTGTTATACTCACAGTCAAAACAAAAGTATTTTACGGATGGGTCCGATGACGAGTTTGAAAATGATCACTGTGACTCCTGTTGTCTAGGTAGGGTTGTCAATATCCTTCGTCCATTGTGTCATATTGTCTCGCACAACATTTTAAGGATATTTTTTTGGGGAGTGAGTATCACATGTTAAGTGTTTCAGAATGTGTGTGATATTAGCCACTTGTAAGCCATGTGTTGGTTAATCTAAAATATGTATCAAACTTGTTCTTATAGAAATAGTTCTTGCATTTTTTTAACTATTGTATATAAAGTTTTGTCATTGGTACGTGTTTTGTCTTTGATGCATTAACATTTAACCAATATGTAAGGATTTCCCACTACTCCCTCCCCCCATATGCACATAAAAATTGAATGATATGATCTTGAAGCCTTCATAGATGATGACTGCCGTCCCAACAGCAAACGTCCACTGACGATGGCTGCTGTTTAAGGGTAAATTCATATTTGACTAGCATGTTGACTTTGGCCTTAGTAAAGCATCTGACACACATTGGAGAGTGAAAATGGGTCCTATAGGCATGGCCACCTATTGAGGACAACACTATAGTAAGCCTTCTGTTGGGAGCATCATGGCCAGTACTGTATTCGACCACTTTCACTTCCTTAATGGTAAAGTGAGGCGCTCATTTACAGCTGGGTGTATTGGGAGCGACCCGACATTAAACCAGCGACCTTTAGGATGATAGCTGAGTGAACCACCCAGCCGTCACACCCCAAGACACACATTACATCAACTAAACATGACCTCTCACAGGTATTATAACTGACCTCGTTTTAGAGCAAAGTCAAGAACACCCTGCAACTCCTTCCAGTCAATTTCCAGGTCCTCTCCAGCCACCTTCCTGAAGAACCCACGGATCCTCTCGTCTGCCTCCACCTCCTGGGCGTCATCTTCATCTGGCCGCACCTTCACAATAAAAACAATAATAAATAAAACTCGTCTACATTTTCCACATCACTTCTAAAGGAACACTAAATAAACTACAAAATTAGCTTATTATTGACATTTTGATGGAAGCTCTGAAAACTGTAATGAAATATTAATTACTTAAACTTTCTCCCTTAGCTGATGTGTTGAACTATGGAATACTTTTATTTATTCACCTCAAAGTGTAAGTAAAAAAGACTGACTGGATCACTAAGATATGTGAATATTTTTAATGTTGAAGTCAGTGATATATAATAATTTTCCTGAAGGTTATTTTGTTTATCCATGAAACATCTTAGGCTGAGTTCTGGCATTATTTTCTTTAGTGCCAAATACATGGTCAACGTATGAGGCCTTAAACCACATACGTTATAAGATTCAATAACAAAGACTTGAAATTAATTGCTGTTGTCATTTTCATCAACTTCCTCTCTGTGTTTGGCCCACCATTGTGTTGGACAGTGACCCATCCTCTTGATCTAGCATATAGGGGCCCAGTTGTTCATCTTGATCAAATATTTTATCCTACCCATCTCCATTCACCTCAATACACTGCCACAGTTAGAGTACAGTAGATGCTGGACACATTCTGTCAACATCCTCCATCTGCTTTGAACAGTTTTATAATTCATATCTTTATCGACCAAGAGCCACACCTTAGATAATGGGGACTTGCAATATACCACACTCAATAATACGTTCTGCTACACTACAGAATTAAGCTGTAGTATGTGTATATATTTGTACCATATACTGTACAGTAATATTATTAGTCTACAGCTGTTGTTTGGGCCTTAACTTGCCACACAAAATGATTCCTCGTCTGTGACATATTTAAGTGGCACTAGGTATCCACCATCATTTGTCATCAGAGGTTACCTAATGGTGATTCTCATTATTCTGTCAAGACAGCACTTACGGTATACAGTATTCTTGCATTTTAAAATTTAAAACAATAAATATTTAGTTGTTGTTTTTACACCAAAGTAAAATGTCTTACACTTTAGGATTTTTATTACTTGAATGGGAATTAGAGCCATTTGTTGAATTATATTATTACATCAGTGAAGACTTGAGTGATGATTGATTTAGTAAGAGGAACCGAGTTATGTTACTGAGAATATTAGGATGATACTTTAAGTTGTGGGTGACATATACTGCCAGTCAAACAGTCAAGCCATCAGTAAGTAAATAAATTGATCCCTTGAATTCATAAATACGATAATAATTTTAAATATCTTCTAATATAGGACTGTGTTTTTCTGTTTGTTTTGATCATTATTTACTTACTTTCAAGAACACAAATCTTTAGATTATTGTGTATTTAGTAAATGGTAAATTTAATTGTTGTTAACTACATGAATTAACTTAAGTTTAAATAAATGTACATTAGTTTGTAAAGGAAAAATTACAATCTTAATCCAAAAATGAGATTCTATAAGATATTTAATGCCCAGATTTGAATAAAAACAAAAGACTGATTATAGTAGTTACAGTAGTATTGTCATTTATGCCTAGTTTATCTTACCTTATGCAGCAGAATTAATTAATAAAGGTAAAACGGCACATGACAAAATAAAAACAAAACATAACACAAAAATCACGTCCCCAAAAATTATGTCCCAGCAATATCATGTCTCAATTTGTTTACAACACAATTTTGATTCACTTGCATAAAGGAAAATCATCGAGCTTTTAAATTCTAGGAGGTAAGCAGGCATTCATTACAGTAAACAGTACAGAACATAACATTTCTACCACACCATACCCAAAGTCAGAAGTCTCATGACATGAAAACAAAACCCAACAAAAAAAGAAAAATTAATACATGGTAAGAATAATTAAAATAAGAGTGGATTTGGGGATTACAGGTATCTCCCACATTATGGAAACTGAGGTTGGGGAAATTCGCCTCGACGGAATTTGTAAACGATGGCCACTAAATTTGGGACACTTCCTGTAAATTTGACCTTACGGAAAAATGGGGTAAATTTAAAAAAAAATCAACACCAAAATCGGGATAGGATTTATAATTTATTTGGTGTGATTTCTTGGTGTTTGTTACCACCAGCTGTGGGTGTGCAGTGTGCTCGTGCCTCAGCTTGTTTATATCTCCCAGTGTGTACGCTTGATCTCTCGACCCCAGCTCTTGAATTTAACACTTACATACATATCTTATTTAAGACTGCCCAGTGTATTACCCCAGTGTATACGCTTGATCTCTCGACCCCAGCTCTTGAATTTAACACTTACATACATATCTTATTTAAGACTGCCCAGTGTATTACCCCAGTGTATACGCTTGATCTCTCGACCCCAGCTCTTGAATTTAACACTTACATACATATCTTATTTAAGACTGCCCAGTGTATTACCCTTATTCAAGATGAGTGGAAAGAGGCCATCAAGTGAAAGCAGTAGTGCTAAAAAAGTCTGTAAAGGAATTATGTTGGATTATAAAACTTGATGTTTTATGGAGGTTTGATGGACGAGAAAAACTTAGCCAGATTGCAAAAACAAAATGGGCTGCTATGTCGCTCATTAACTCCCATTGTACCGCCTCACCTCACACAGCACTCAACATCGTCTGTGGCAAGGTAAATTAAAGTATTTTGTGTATTTATTTTCATATTACTGTATATCTTAAAATAATCGATGTACAGTATTAAATTTTTTTTACAGTATTTTCATTGCTTGTATTACTTCTTTTGCCGGAAAAAGTTTCTTTAAGAACGTGTCTTCAATTAGATAATGGAAGTCAATGGGAAAATGGGACTTGCGCGGTCAAATTTTCGAGGACGTTACCCTTCTATAATGCAGGGGATTACTGTATGTAAGATTAGACACCCTGGTTTGTTTTACCCTAATGCTGCCTCGAGGGTGTTAGGTTAGGGTGATATGAGCCAGGGTTCCTAATCTTCAAGTGATCTTAATTTTGTGTTTCGTGATAATATATGTAAAATAACAGCTTCCATACGTCATTTCCACAGGAGGTGATAAGATGTATTTCCTGCATAATCTCACGTAACGTTGATGGTGAGTTTAATTTATTATTTCGTGTTTGAATAATAGTTCTGTTTTGTCTTCCATTATCGTACAAGTTTATATTTAGAATAGAATAAGTGACCAACACCCATTATCCCTCCACACAGCTGGTTGACCGAATAGTCATTTTTAATTCATCATTTCACCATTTATCAGTTTACTAGCCATTTGGGAGGCTAGTCTGTTCTTTTAATACTTTCTTGTGAACTTTATTGTCCAGTGTTAGTACAGGAAAAAACCGAACTAGTGAGGGTCACACTGGATAACACCCTTCTCATGTGTGTCTGGGCCAGGACTCAAACCCATGACATATTAGTGAGAGATACTCATGTTGATGAGAGCTACGCATTGGCCCCAAGACAGCCAAGCTTGTGATGTCATAGAACAAAATGGAGGGTTCTCTTTTTAATATTAAACTTGACATATGATTGTGACAAATTATATGCCTCCTGTCCATCAGAATGTCTCAAATTAATCAATCTGAGGTTTATACGATAACCAAATCTGAGGTGTACACTAAAATGAAATCTAAGGAACATAATCAAGCAATACATATTTAAGTGTCCCTCATCCGTGCCGTGAAGTCATATGTGTCCGATTATATTCAGATCTCCCGAGAAATAGGGCTTCAGTGTGTCTAATGTCATGACTCCATCACATTGTCCAATACTGTACCTCAGTCCTGTACAGTATACACCTACAACTGAGACTGTTCACACTGTTATGTACTAAATAATATTCCTTTAATAAATGAATAATTCCGTGATATACTGTATTACAATAATGTCATTTAATATAGGGTATAATACATCACTAATATATCACACTATGATACAAGACAATGGCACTTTATATATGTTAAAATTGATCAAATTCTATTCTTGAGGTTAATGATGGAAATGACTGATATATATGTACAGTAAGTTCAATATTTACCCAGTAGATGTTTGGAAATATTGGCATGAAAATAAATTGAAAATATAATACTGAAAATAAATTGAAAATATAATACTGAAAATAAATTGAAGAAGTAAAGTTTGTTCATTTCAGTTTGTTATTGAACCATTATTCGGCACAAATGGACTTAAAAGGTCACACTGACAAAGACCAACACAAGTCAAGGACACAAGAATCAACATGAGTGCACCTGACACATAAAACGAACAATAATAACATAGTAAGCACATTTAAAAGCAAACCTGTCAGTTAATAACATGAACGAACACAAGTTTGGGCTAACATGCATGATGAAGGACGAGTATCACCTCGATGACTCCTCACAATCACTTACTTTACGCACTAAAGAACTTCGGAACTTTCCTCGACCACCTTGCTCATCCTGTACATGTGAGAAGCTGAAGTGAAATGTGCCAAGAGAGAAGAAGTTTTCCGATGAATAGCAATACCGTACTTGTTACTACAGAGACATTAGTAGTACTGTAGTGTTGATACAGCGGTCAGACATAATTGATACAGAAATTATGTATTTTTACTCTTGCTAATTGAATGCCAATATAGTTTTTTTTTAGTAAAGACTGATGTAGCATTTAAAATTTAATTAATTTGTGGAATATAAAGGGCAGGTGTGTGGTAACTGTCAGAAAATGTTAAAAATAATACAAATGCCAGGTAACATAAGTAAAGGTACAGAGGCTGTGTCACTCTTACTTATCAAGGTGATGGATGAAAATTGACGGAAAAAGCCAGAACTATGAAAACAGCTTATGGTGTCTGAAGGGGGATGGTAAGATGTCCGAAGATTTTATTTTTTTATTAATTATCACCTTTTATCAGCTTATCATACACCAGTTGTGAAGGTGGGGGGGTAATAAGGATATTATTTTCTGATGTTTCTATAATATTCATTTCTCAGTCTTTATTACTTTTCTAAATTTCTTATTTTACACACAAATGTGATATCAATTCTGTAACGAGATTTTAATTTTTTTTGATGTTTATAATTACTGTATCTAGTCTACATCAGGTACAGTACAGTGTAGTTATTCAGTAAATCTCATTTCTGTATCAACTATAATCAAAGCTATTATCAGACAGACAGACAGACACCTGCTAAACTAAACTTCAATAGAATTAGAGATTTTATCATAATATTACTCTTATGTGTTCATCTTTGACACACTTATGGAGAAGATAATTAATGACTCAGGTGTACCAATTAAGAAATTTTGATCACCTGAGGATTAGGCCCCCCCCCCCTCATGCTTAGTTCACCTGATGATAACCACCTTAATGCTACTTGTGAGGAGTTAGGTTAGTGCTATGGTGGTTTCTCCGTAGGTAAAATAAGCTAGGGGCTAATCTTCATGTGAGGCTAAAATTTATTATGTCTATGAGGAGGAACCACAAAATGTTAGTGTGCGTGTCGATCCTGCTTCAAAGTTCATAAAATGAGTGAAATTTTTTTTATTGAATTGATGCTGATATACTTCATATTACACCACATTTTACCAAGGATTTTACTTATCTTTATTTGCACTATTGTACCAGTCATGGGTGATTGTCATGACAGTACTGTATAACTCAGGGTACAGTCCCCTTCACTAGTGCGTTTACGGAGGCTCGTCATATAAGCATTCCACAAATCATTACATTGAGATATTTGTTTTAATATTGTATTACTTTGATTCCATAATATGTTTACTATTGCGAGTTTTCTTTCTGTCGAAAGTAAACAAACACAACGCTGCAACACCGCACAAAACCTGACGAGCCCCTGTAAACATACTAGTGAATGAGACTGTACATCAGCACCCACAATGACTTAAATTTTGTGGCAATTCCTCAACCATGCAACTTAATACTCGAAAAAAAAGTGCTTGAAAGACAGTGAAAAAATTGTCTTAATTCTATCTGTTATATCTCTAACTTCTCAAAGCTAAAAATATGGAACTTACACCAGACTGATAATGCATCTTTGTCATTATTATATTACACTAAGTCTATTTTCCACAATTACTGCACCTGATGACATGGTCTTTCATCTGCCATCAGGGAAATTTGAAGCAAGTTTTATGGCTGGCTGCCCTTCATATTACCAACCCACTTCCAAATGCCCGCTTACCTGTTGAGGCTGGGTCATTACCTCCCTTTTAACTCACACTTGACATGACAGCTGCACCCAGAGCTTGACCAACACACAGTACAACACTTTATCTTAGTCATACACTACAGGTACTAAAATTCTGACTTCATTCTGATATTACTTACAAATAATGGATTACTGTGAACTAATAAACCACTAAATGAACTTTAACATCTAGAGGTGATATAGATTCTCCATTAAACTCCCAACACCTCCAGTCACACTACTTCAGTATCTCACCCATAATAAACATAGGTAAATAATTAAACTAAATTGATAAATATCTTATTATCTCAACCATTGATAAAAAGATGATAATTGTGTGATAGTAAATAGTCTTTATATTAGTTCTCAGATGTTAACAGTCATGACTCTATGGGCACGTGAAGCTATTTACGTATCATATTTCATCACATTAACCCCTTCTGTTATCACCAACTAATGCCATGATGAGTACTGTACATATTACACCTAATGATGCTTTAACCCTTTGAGTACAATGACAAGCCCTCCAGTATGGTAATTTAACCCCTTGAGTATGGTGACTTAATCTCTTGAGTTTGTTGACTAGATGACTTAAGGGATTATGTTGTACTCAAGGGATTAAGTCTTTGTACTCAAGGGGTTAAATCAATGTACTCAAGGGGTTAATACCACAAGAGTCAGACCATACTAATGATTAGGTTCAATAAATATCTGTTATATAAGAGACACTTAACCTTAGTTATCTATTTAACTTCTAAAATAAAATAATATCTTGGCCATATAAAATTCCTCACTGTTTGGTTCCCCCAAAACTTGCACAGGTTACCATATTAAAAGCTCTTGTTTGTTAAGGGAAAACATTACACCAGCTAACAGCAGTCAGTCATCAGAGTTAAAGAGGCATCACAGTACTAAACAAGGAACACCAACTTTGATTAAGAAATAACTTTTGTAGAAGAAAAGCTTGCAAGACTTCTGTACATTAAGTCATAACTACTGTATATACAAGTACAACACACCACCATACATTACAAGATACAGTACACTGTATTAGCATTACACATCAGGCCTGTGCATTTGATTTAAAGCAAATTACTTTAAGAGTTTTTTATACATATAAGATGGCAAGTGCATTGTGAGACTTGGCGATTGTAAAATTAGTGAAAAAGACGAGCAGCTTCCACCTTCCATCTCGGGAGGGTCTAAGGCATGGCACCAACATATTCATCTTTGGTTTATTTTGAGATCTTGGAAAATTTCCCTCCACCACTCTCTTGCTCACCCAAGAACTAAATCTGAGGAGACCTGAAAAGTTCTGAGGTACAAGTCTGGGTCATCCCTGTTGTTTGGCACAGTAAATACAGAAGCCTGAGGTATGTAGTGTGCATCTGTGCACTACTCACTAAACTACTACAACTCCCCTACACAACACATGTACTACAGTACTCACCCTTTCATCAACTTGACCAAAACCAACATCTTCATCATTTTCCCTGGAAAAAAAATGATGATAATTAGAGCATGATATTTTGAAGAGAGTATTAACAAAGATGTACTAATAAGTACTGTACTCTCTGTCACCATCTTATCTAGTACAGTATGTCATCTATAAAACATTGAAATAACTTACTCCATTTCATTTGACTTCTCAGAGAACACCCTAAGGATGAACTCTCCATCCTCATTAGCTTCAAAGGTTGATGGAACGATACAGTAGGTGCCAGGGGGAAGCTTGAAACGGCACGACACCTCACGCATGTTGATGAAGGAAGGAGAGCGAGCCACTGAAGCGCTGTACTTGAAGAAGTTCAGGTCCAGGGGACGTGGAACACCATCTGGGTCACGCAACTGAGGACACACAACTATTGTACTATACGACAGTTTACTCTTCCCAGCTCAGAAAGGAAAGAGTTTTTTCAGGATCAATCCCTCAAATATTGCCTAAAGGAGACCACTAACTAGGTGGAATATTATTATAAATGATACAACTAAATTTAGGTTTCAATGTGCCTGTACTGTACTGACATTGTTTATAAATGAATATTTTTAATGTAAAGTGACTTTGTTATAATGTGATGTTAAGGTTGAGATGTTTTAATATGAAATTGTTGATGTACAGTTTTTTAAATGATTACCCTGAAGCCATGGAAGTGAAAAAGTGATCATTTCTTACATGATAAATAGCAAAGCCGATGGTAAGGCACTCCAGACCGAGCTTCCTCTGTGAGCGACGGTTCTTCTGCATGAGGGCGACAATTACTGTACACTTGTTGTCGTCATCGTCGTCATCCACCTCCGTCAGTGTGATCCTGTACTGGGGGTTGTGCCAGAACGTGTCTGTCAAATACAATATGTTTGAGTTATGACAGTGATCACCGGGGGATGTATTGATTGTTTAATTCGATAAATACCTTCTATTACACATTACAACAAATTTAATTAGTAATTACATCTTTATATTCTGTACACACTAGATAATTGAAAGTACGTAGTTGAGACAAAAAATATGTCTCAAAGCATTACAATATTATCAATACAGGTATCAGCCGTTTAGCGATCGTTCACTTAGCGATAATTCGGTTTAGTATTTAATTTTTTTTAACACTCTTGGTTATTTAATGATCTGCAATTGTTCGGTTAAGCGATCTTCCACTCGCTGGGAAAATTCAGGAGGGAATTATAAAAAATTGGGAATCTGTGATCCAAGTGGGCATATCTACTGGGTGGGCAATGAACATAAGAAAATAAGGAGTCTGCAATAGGCCGGTTGGCCTGTGCATGGCAGCTCCTGTCAAGAGTTACTACCCCACTCTATCATCCATGAATCTATCTAGCCTCCTTTTGAAACTTTCCAGAGTTCCTGCACTTACTACAAAGCTGCTAAGCTTGTTCCACTCGTCCACCACCCTATTTGTGAACCAGTTTCTTCCTATCTCCCTCCTAAACCTAAACTTATACAACTTGAATCCATTGCTACGAGTCCTATCCTGCTCGGATATTATTAGAACTTTGCATCCCTGTATACTGCACTGCTCTATCTATATAAGGTACATATATGATGAAGTATACAGTACAGTGTAAGGTAATATTTTATATTAATACAAGTCAAGGACCTTTTCTCCTAAAATCTAGGGGCCGACTACGTTTCGGTTTTCAGTTATTTTTAGAATTTTGGACAAAGAAACCTTGACCTGTGCGCAATTATTTGTGGAGGTGTTAATGTATCATCTTACCGAGGAAGTTTCTGCAGCCACCAGCCGTGGAGCCACGGATCCAAGCTCCCTCAAAGACACTCATCTCCCACTTGTGCTGAACTGATCCAGTTATGTCCTCATCATCCAGGGAGTCAGGATTCAAGTTGGTCATTTCCATCATTGTGAAGTTGGTTAAGAAGTCCTGCAAGAATTATAGATTATTTTTAATAATCTTCAAACATCAAACATTGACCAAGTATTTAAACCATTTCCATGCATCATGACTCAGTTTAAGGTTCATTATAATTGGTCTGGCTGTAGTGTCTTGTTAAAGAGTCCAAGGAATGGTGAATGAGCTGTTAACATTACAGCTGTTAACCCTAAAGGTGCTTGTGAGAAAAATGTTTTCCCGGCTCTTCCATGGTGCTAGTGGGAACAAATATTCCCAGCAGGAGTTATTAACAGCTCACTAGTTCTTGTTTGAGGAGGGAGATAAAGGCTGGAAGGTCAGTTGAATAAGGACCAGCATTTGGGTGAATATATTCTGCCTAAGAGCACAGTGTTAGCACATACAGTACAGCATTCTGCAGGCCACCATAGTCTGCCCAGTTGGCCCAGCACTTGGGAAAATCTTATACTAAATAAAATCCAGAAATTATTGGTTGCATACACTGACAGTTAAGCTGAAGAGGAAGATTTAGTCAGTATTAAAAGTACTGTATGTAAATAAATAAGCAAGAAAAACATTGTGGAATGAGTCCAGGACACGAAGTAATACCACATTGACCTTAGCCACCCAAGATTTTACACTGTGTATCTTGGGACCCAAGTGGCAAACACAAGTGAGTTTGTGATTTTTGTTATCCATGAAATTCTATTTACAACAGATTGGTAAAATAATTACACAATGAATATCCATCTAAAAAAAGATTTACCTCGGTACTTGGCAAGTGACTTGCACCTTAAATTGACAGAAGTGATGATGCCCTATAGCAGTATACAGTACATATTACTTTTAAAGTCCAACTCTGCAGCTTTAAATGAAGATTAATGAAACAAGAGAAAAACTGACCTTAAATGACATCCAGAACTCTCCATCATGCTCAAAGGTCAGACCAATCTCTTCCTTCTCTTCTGGAGGAATAAACTGCCACTCAGGGCTCTGATCACTCCAGGCTCCTTGCCACTCTGCCTCGTTACCCCAGGGATTACGAATACGGATGAGCGGAATCTTTCCAGTCACTCTGGGAGTATTGATCTCGCAGAACTTGATCCTCGTGACGGAGTAAGCGTGGCCACGGACGAGACCGCTGTCACACCGAGCCTCTACTACATTTGGGTCCGGCTGAGGGGTGAAGAAAATGTTAAACTTTATCATTAACAAAACAAATATAAATATAAACAGAAACAAAGGTTTGGTTAAATCCCGTGACCAGGCAGGGTTTATGAGTGAGTATTGTGCTGTTATTACTATGGCCAGGAGTTACCATTACACTGATCTTAATAAACTGTGTAAATCTGGGGTGGAGATTCTTCAGCTGATCCTTTTACTCTTATTGTAAATAGATTAGACGACCACAATCATACAATTATTGAATTGTACTGTACTGAATGTTATTACAGAAATGGATACAATATATTTATCTGTGTTATTTTGAAGACAACTTCGTAATTGCTTATTAAACTGTATTTCTAGATCATATGTTAATTAATATTAAAGAATGTACAGTTGTGGACAAAATTCCCTGAACACTTGGCAATATCTGGCATCTACTTGTGGGTCGTATATATGATTGGTTTATATATAATAATGCAGCTTGTTATCACATATGTCGGAACAACAAAATGGGGGGGAGGGGAGGCACTCCCTAATACAAAGAAAAACCTAAGAAATATGTTAAAATTCTAATCCCCTTCACCTATTGCTCCTCAAGTACTCACATGCCAGATACTGCCAAGTGTCCAGGCAATTTTATTGGTGCTTGTACATATGAGGCACTCTGTGTGTGGCTGACCCCCCTCCCAGGGAAATGGTCCCAAAATTGGGTATGACAGGTTCATCAATGATACACTGAGCTCCTCATATGACTACACTATATCAAATCATCAAAACTCTTCATCAGGTAAATACAGTAATATAATTTTGTATCAAGTTACATTACAGGAGGTACAGTATCACAGTTATGAAGGGGTTATGCTCCTGGTCCCTGTTCGTTAGGCGATTCATTTGTAACTCAGATCCACGTAATTTCCCCAATAAAATAAAAGTAAAACTCATCCATATCTGTAAAATCCTAACAATAGGAACCCATAACTAATAAATGATGTAAATAATGCACGGAAACCAAACAAAGTTGTGACACGTTCATACAGTATCAGCAAATGTTCCAAAGGCGTCAACTGCCATTTAAAGGTCAACAATATAGTACAGTGCAACTAACTACTGTACGAACACACCTCAATGGAGCACCCCATGAGGGATCCACGCTGGTAGGCCTTGAGCATGATGTTGAAGAGGTTGGGAGGTGCCTTAGTGAGGTCGTAGATCTCGGACACGCCTCCTGTGAAGTCTTCCATGGCCTCACAAGTGGTACCTCCCTTCAAGGCTTCATATGAGCCATGAAGCCTGAAGGAAGAGATTAGATTAGCACACAGTTATTACACTAAAGGCTGAGTCTGGTTAGTACTTGGATGGGTGACCGCCCGGGAATACCCTGTACCAGATGCTGTTGACCATACAGGAAATAAGCAACTCATGGTTTAATTGGCTGTTTGTGGTTAAAATGACTAAATATCAGTGATTACTATAGTATAGATGGATAGACAAAGAGGTTGACAGAAAAATTAATAGACAGGTTACAGATTGACAGACAATGAGACTGATAGAAAGATGGATAGACAGACATAGAAATTGATAGACAAGTCACAGACAAAGAGACTGATAGACAGATCACAGACAGACAGACAGATGAAATAAGTCTAGACTGATAAGACAGAAAGATGAATAGACAGATCACAGGCAGACAACTTGAGGGGATGGAGTTATAGGATATGTAACTCACTTAGCATAAGCCTTCTCCACAAGGGCAGACCAGAACTCATTCTTCTCTTCTGAGTGCATGAAGACCAGACGGCCATAGAATGTGGGCAGACGGTCGTCAATGACAACGTCAACCCAGCGCCCGTACTGCCAGAATCTATAAGTAAATGAGTTATGAGAAATTGTACATCACACATGATCATTACAGTACAGGTGTTTTTGTACATATTGACTGTCATCAGTAATTGTACACCTCTTGTGATTAGTAATTGTACACCTCTTTAGGACTAGTATTTCCATATCCTTCATGAAATTCACCCAGCTGTAAGTGGGTACCTAAGTTTACAATTTGGGAAGTGAAGGCGGTCGAGAGCAGAACCGGCCATGCTGCCTCCTTGTGTACCGAAGGCTTAGTATACAGTGTGCTGTATCCACACTGTCCCTAATGGGTAGTTATGGCTATAGGACTAACTTCCACTTTCTTCAAATTATCTTAGACATGGCTAAATTCGGTAACTGTTTTCCATTTTATCATGTATTTTGGCCATTTTGAAAGGTACATATATGTTTCTGAAGAACTTTTAGCCATATTGTAATTAATTTTTTCTGACATAGAGTACCGGGTGTCCTGGGAAACTTGTGACAATCTTCAGATGGTGTTTATTTGGCTTATTATCAGCAGGAAATAGTACATGAATTAATCTCTAAATCTCAATCATTATGAAGTTAAACATCGCTATTTAACACGCTTACTCCCCCAGTCTCTGCTAATGGACTCACCCCACCACCTGCTCCCACCATTTAACACACTTACTCCCCCAGTCTTTGCTAATGGACTCGCCCCACCACCTGCTCCCACCACTTGGGTAATTTCCATTTGAGATAAACATTTACCTGAAGTGGAAGATGCCAGCATAATTGTCTCCAAATCCTTGATCACTTGGTACAATCTGGTAAAAGAGTCGCTTGTTGAGGGTCAAGTTGGCCACAGCAGCCAAGAGCCAACAGTCGCCTGAAAATGATAAACAATATTAATGAAAGTCAAAATACGCCATAAACTATACTTTATCATGTTGAAAATACTGTACTGCTTCTCAGCTGATAGGCGAAATTAATGTACAGCCACTCCTCGACTTACGACGGGGTTAAGGACCCAAATCCAGGTCGAAAGTCGAATTGGTCGTAAGTCAAAAATGCGAAGATAATACTGTACATAGAAAATCTAAAATGGGTGTCTCTTTTTCTTCTCGGCACCACAAAACTCTCACAAAAGCATGCCAGCCATTTTAAAGGGAATTACAAACGAAAATATTGTCAGTACACAGCACAATCACTGACGTTGGGACTCGAAAATAAGCTTGTAACTTAAATTGTCGTTAATTTTGAAGTTGCCTGAAATATTTGATCTGGAGTGTTATGCAGAGGTTGAGGGAAATGGTGTAGCCAATACCATGAACAAGACCATTTGTAATTTTAGCTTTGATGGATCACCTGAAGTTTACACCCCCCCCCCACTCTTATAGCTTTGAGGGTGGTTAAAATTCAGGTTGTTTAGCTGGGGAGGGGTTGAGACTTCAGGTGAGGACATAGGGCGCAGGGGGGGGGGGGCTAATCTTCAGGTGCCCCATAGAGGTCTTAAATAGTGAATGGTCTCTTCACTCTTCATGGTCTTGGACTCCTATTGAAGTCATACATCACTGGCTTAGGGATGTTGTATAGGGACGTTGGTATGTTGTATCACTGGTTTAGGGATGCATGACAAGAGAAAACAGTGACAATACTCCTTAATGAACTATGATGAACAAGGACAATACGGTGAACTGTTTACGACTCACCAAGTTCTCCCTGTTTAACATCAAAGCGGGATGCTCCGTCGATGAACAGCTGGGGCTCATCCGTGATCTCCTGAATAATGAACAGAAAACAGAGTTAATCAATCACCAAAAAAAAAAAACACATCGATCAAACTTCTTCTCTTATTAATTCTTGTTATTAAATGCAGAAGATGTAATTTGATGCTGAGACTTGAAAATTCCTGTCATCATGCTGTTATTGTCAGACTTTAGGGGATGATGTGTGTTAGTGAGCATTATAGTAACTGTATTATATTATGACTTGTACTCTGTGTCATGAAGTTTATAATACAAGTACTTTCATTTTAATAAAGCCTATGAGTGGTTAACCAGGTTTGTTAGTACTTATGCCAGAGTACTTGGTTACTGTAGTCTTGTTCTGTAATGAGTGTTGATATTTTTTACACTCTGATAACATGATTTAACTGTACACTCGCTCCAAAAAGTATCTTTATGGATGAACACTGTGACTCCTGTTGTCTCGGTAGGGTTGTCAAAATCCTTCATCCATTGTGTCAAATTGTCTCGCGCGAAATCATATATAGATCGTCTTCGGAGCAAGTGTACGTTGTGTTCTATACAGGCTCCTTCGATTTAAGACGGACTGGTTTACGATTGGCTTACTTAAATACAAGGAAGCCTCTCTGTACAGGATATTTTTCTACGGTTCTCCAGTAAAAAAAACGTGAGATATGTATAGTGGGTTTTAATACTGGAAGAGATGAATTTTGTACACGGAGATTCCTACCTGCATACAGTGTGTCAGTGGGCGTGATATATAAACCATGTATGTGTGAGTACAGTACTTTATAAATGTTGTATACAGTATATGCACATGTGACAGTCTGTGTATATCTGTATAGAATATATGATACTCATTATTATTTTATATTACTGAAAGAGTTAATACTTAGTAGGGGGAAATAATGACTAAAATCACACACAGTTAATCCTCTCTGGCTAAACTTTATATTTAATCAATAAAAATAAAAGTTTCAGCTTCAAGATTTGTAATGAGTTAAGAATGAAAATAACAAGGGACAAACTGACAATAAACTCAAGGCAATGAAAACACAGCAGCAACACTAATGTAGACACGGTAAAACTAATCCTCGGACCTGAACCATAAACCGGACCCAAATTTACTATTATATACAGTACAGTACTAATATTGCAAGGTGGGTTAGGTTAGGGGTGGGTTAGGTCGGGATGGGTTAGGTCAGGTAGCTTATTAGGTTTGACTGGGTACTGGTTAAAGGCTGAGGTCCAAGGGTCAATTAGCCAAATGTAAACAAACATTTTAAAATACATCCAAATATCTACTCTAGAAAAAAGCAAAGGCTAATATACACTAAAATATAAAGTAACATCTGCAACATAACACCCGCTAAAAATAAAACATCTCCACTTCACTAATAAATAATCTACATAAACAGCCGCTACGGAGCACAATAACGACTAAATGATCGCTACAAATAATACATAATGATTATACATATGGCAGACATTAACTATTTGTGGAAGCATCGGTACATGAACAAAAACTCACTGGTTGGGGTTAAGCTAGAGTGTGGGGATGATCGTGGTACAGTGTGGGGGGTGATCGTGGTACAATGTGAGGGCGACCATGGTACAAGATGAACATATGAACAATGGGTTATAAAGATCTTAATGCTTTAATCTATACTGAACAAATCTAATGGGTAAACAAACACAATGATAGTGAACAGTATGAGGGTTTGATACAGCTACATGCAGTTCATTTTGCTATGGAGAATTTGTGAGGTTTACTGTTCTCGTGATTCAACTGATGCAGCGAACACAAAGACTAATGAACGTACATGCAAATACAGTACAGTTGTTTGGCCACTGGACAAATATGATGTGTTCATTATATATATTCTCTTCAGTGGGTGAAACATTCCGTGAGCGGTAAGTATTGTACTAGTGATGGCTAGACAACATAGCACATAAAATGGTCAATGTTAAAAAAGTACCAAATAGGAACCTTTAAGGATTTTGTAAATGAGATGAATTAATCCAATATAACCTAACATAATCAGTACTGTAATACTCTAAGGTAACTAGGTTAGGTTTGTGGTATGGTAATTGTGGGTCACTGGAAGATTATCCCTCCAGCTAATGATAAATAGCCTAATGCTACTTTGGAGGGGGGGGGGGTTAGCTGAGGTGGCTATATTAGATTAAATGATGTTATGTAAGATTAGGATAGGATGGATTAGATTAACTTGGGTTAGGAGAGGTTATGTTTGGTTAGGTTTAATCAGGTTTATTATGATGGTTAATCTTAGGATGAGATAACATGGGAATGGTAATCATCAGACGGCCCTCATTTGTTTTCCTGTCGCCATAGAGCCATCCTATTACAGATTAGTGGTTGTGTTTGTGATATGGTCCAGTACTTTAACAATACTAGCCATCCTATACACAACACAGGCTAGGGTACATGGCCTGAGGTACCGTACAGTCTCTCAAAAACTATCTGTACTCGGGGTGGTCGATGAATTCCAGAATGAACAATTGTGACTCCTGTTGTCTCGGTAGGGTTGTCAAAATCCTTCGTACATTGTGTCATATTTTTTCAACACAATTTTTTTATAGTTTTGAGAGTGACTGTACATAATGTAAGCACTAAAACCTCCATTTACAGAACATCAAACTAATGGAGGTTTCATGTCTAACGGACCTTAATATATAGGACTATTCTGCCACATATTCTGTTATATAGAGGTTTCACATGTCTTGAACCTCGATATAAGAGACTATAATCTCCCATGTACAGTACAGTAGTCTGTTAAATAGAGGAGGAAGACGAGGAGTAAACAGGACAAATGAAAGCCATGTGGGTCATGTCTGGTACAGGAGCATAATATCAAATAATGCTCAGTAAACTTATTCAGGCACAGGAGCATAGTATCAAATAATGCTCATAAAAATTACTCGGGTATGGAAGCATAATATCAAATAAAGCTCAGAAATTTTACTCGAAGATATGGATGCTAAATTGAAGACAGGAGTAATGATGGATCACTTGTGGACCAGCATTTAGAAAAGCCGATTAGCAACTTTCAATAAACGTGTAACTTGTCACGACTAATTTACATAACTTAGGTTGGGTTAGGAGGGACACTTACCAATATGGAAGATAAATTTGGTGGATATTATAACTTTAGATAATTGAAATAATGACATATTTTATTTACTATTGTTTAAAGTATTTGGAAATTTAGATACATGTATTTCATATGAGACTTTGTTGTTTAACTGCCGATCAATTGCAAAGAAATAAATGCCCTTTGTGATGTGTATAGAAGAGGTTATAGATGGAGATGTTAAGCTTGGTAGGCCTAAGGCTCATTACAGTATATATAGGCCTATGTTTAGCAAGCCAGATCTCTCAACTACATAAAATTAATTAGACAACACAAGTACCTTCAAAGCCATGATCTCCTAAGGAAAAGAAATTTAAAGATGAATTAGACAAACATCACAGACATATATGAGGACAGTACGCGGATAAAATACAACATACGTACAATAGACTCATTATTCTGCATTAGTCTTTATGGGATTATAACTCTAGATAAAAAACAAAATATAATCGAGTCAGTACTGTATTCTGTATTAGTCTTTATGGGATTACACTATAACTCTTTTTACTCTATGATAAAAAACAAAATACAATCGACTCATTATTCTGCTTTAATCTCTATGGGGTTTATAATCCTTTACTCTTTATGGTAGACTTTTACTACCTTGTGTGAGTTAGTGGAGAGTGGGTGTGTGACATGCCATGCTCATCACCCACCAGACCCACACACTCCCAAGTACCCGGATAACTCACCTCGCTCGTCAAGATAATGCAAAATGAGTTTCCGTGTGAATTAAATCCTCTCTGTCCTTAATACACAATGTGAATTATTATCTAAGTAAATCATATCTCTCAAATATTAATATGCAGTACAGTATTCTACCTTCTGAATGAACTTACAAAAATGCAGTATAATACATAAATAAAAATCTTGTAAGAGTGCAAAAAAATATATTATATTAAGTCTCTTATTTTAGGATAATATTAAGAACAGAAAAACAAGTGACTACAATGCATGGAAATACTGTATACGTAGTGACCAGTGCTTGTCACACACACACACACACAGTTCAAGATATTAAGTATTCAGTACCTAAAATTATCCAAAGATCAGTACAGGTATCCCGACACACACACACACACACACACACACACATACACACACACACACTAATATTAACAAAATTAATAACATGATTTAGTACTGTTTAACCTCCCTATACTTGTCTGAGGTGAATAATGAAAGACTTAAATAACTCCCTTTAGTCTGTATTATTCAGGTAATAAATGAATAAAACAAAATAATTTCCCAGTGATTCCAGTTTCCTCTTTTACTATTATGATGTAGGGAAATAATACAAGCCTTAAGTCCCCCTAAATACTGAAGGAAATTAATTATGATGTAGGGAAGAAATATAAACCTTAACTCCCCCTAAATACTGAAGGAAATTAATTATGATGTAGGGAAGAAATATAAACCTTAACTCCCCCTAAATACTGAAGGAAATTAATTATGATGTAGGGAAGAAATATAAACCTTAACCTTAACTCCCCCTAAATACTGAAGGAAATTAATTATGATGTGACTGAAGGAAATTAATTATATGTAGGAAGAAATATAAAAACCTCCTAAATACTGAAGAATTAATTATGTGTAGGAAGAAATATAAATCTTAACTCCCTAAATACTGAAGGAAATTAATTATGGTGTAGGGAAGAAATATAAACCTTAACTCCTAAATACTGAAGGAAATTAATTATGATGTAGGGAAGAAATATAAACCTTAACTCCCCCTAAATACTGAAGGAAAACACACATTATTGACCTCAGAGACTTGGCTGGGACACATCCACATAGTATATAAGTTTCATCAAAGTGTACAAATTCTTACTTAACCACTGAAACAAAATAAAAATAACACCTATTGTTTATAAGCACTTTCTGACGTTAACTAGACTCCCTAATATTTTTTTTTTTGGGGGGGGGGGGGTATTGGATTACTGTGTTTAGTTTTAAAAGTGACGCTAAAAATAGTCAGTCTTACTAATTTTTCATTTTTGTTCAACCTTTGAGACATAACACCAGTGTCATATAGTTTATCAGGAATGCACCAATTGTTCTCATTGATCTACATATGGAACAAAATATATACTTTTGTGTTTACGAGTATAGTTTGAAAGTTATAATGTTAAACTGTGGGTGCTAAGTTAACGTGGTGGTCGTGGTGATGTTGGTTAACATTGGAGTCATAACATTAACACAAGTAATGTCAATGTGGCTGAGAGTTAACGTGGTGGCTGTGGTGGTGGTGGTTAGCATTGGGGTGATAATGTTACTGTGGGTGCTAAGTTAACGTGGTGGTCGTGGTGATGTTGGTTAACATTGGAGTCATAACATTAACACAAGTAATGTCAATGTGGCTGAGAGTTAACGTGGTGGCTGTGGTGGTGGTGGTTAGCATTGGGGTGATAATGTTACTGTGGGTGCTAAGTTAACGTGGTGGTCGTGGTGATGTTGGTTAACGTTGGAGTCATAACATTAACACAAGTAATGTCAAACTGTGGCTGAGAGTTAACGTGGTTGCTGTAGCTGGTGGTAGTGGTGATAATGTTAGTCTCAGGAAATGACTATCGCGAACTCTTCTATAATTAACCACTATAATCAAGTCATATAATTATTATTCCACTAATGAGAATTTTTTTTTATTTCGTAATAATTGTTGCTGTAATGACGTAATTATCCTCACTTGTACCTGACGTAATGTTATTGGTGTAATTATAATATTTTCTATTAATTTCAAGCTTGTTTAATTTTTATTAATTTTGTATTTGTTGAAGAGTGATGTATTTACTGATCTTGGACACTCAGTTAAAGACCTTAGTTGTTAAAGCGCAGTCACACACACACCCACACCCACCCACCCACCTTTAATACATTTATAGAGTTGCCATTATTCTCTCACAGGCATCAGCTACCAAGGGCGGGGCGGTAAAGAGCTATTCCATTGCTTATATCTACCTAAGATGACAATTCTATGTTGATGAAGGAGGTTTGGTTACGTCTAGTCATTCACATTCATTTACTTCTGGTCATGCACATTCATACAGTGGCAAAATACACGTCAGGCATTGTTACCTTCTACAGCGTGACTCTGGCCTAAGGAACTCAAGACAAACATTTAAATACCGTGTCATATTAGATGTAAACATATGACGTCATGACATTCACGTGCTTGTGGTTTCATCCATACCAGACATGTAAACAGATGACGTCATGGCAGACTTGCTTGAAGATGCTTCCATTCAATACTTTTGTAAAAAAAAAAAAAACAGCATCACCTTCTCTGTAAACATATGACGTCACGACATGTGCGGGTGCTCTCATTCAGAACACATAACCCTCACCACCTCACATGTAAACAAATGACGTCATGGTAGACTTACGTGCGGGCGCTTCCACTCGAAAGGTTTGGGAGGGGAGCGAGAGAAGAAGATAGAAGCGTCCTCGGCGGGGAACTCCTGGTCCTCGAACAGTGTCCCCTCGTCTTGACATTGTTGACGGAGGCTGTAGAAGTCTTGAACTTGACCTCGGGGACGTAGACCTGACCCTCGCTCACCAAACTGTCGAGGGAGGGAGGAAAAATGGTTATAATATGGGAAAAGAATATGTTTTAGTCGATTAGAGAAAGAAAATGGCCGGTTGTAATCTATTGAGGGGTAAACAAAGGATTATTGTCACCGGAAAATAAGTGTATATATTCACAGCAGATCATTGTAGAGGGTGGAACAAGTATGTGTGTGTGTAGGTGGTGTGCAAGACAGGATGGAATCATGTGAGGATGTGTGGTGAAGGGGGGAGGGGGTATGTACAGGATACGGTCAGGGAGATAAAACGTGTTGAAAATGTCACAGGCACTGACGGGAATGAGTGTGTTGTGGGTGGCCTGGGGTGGTATAGAAGTCGTATAAATGGTATACAGTATTAATAAAAGCGATCACCTGAATATTAAGACACGTCTCATCTTATTTCACCTGGCGATTAACCTAACACACTCAGGTAGCGTCAGGTGGAACTAAGGTGACAAATCTTTAGGTGATCCCAAGTAAATTCTCCCACACCTTACAAACAAAAGCAACTTGGCCACGTTTGACCTTTTCAAGAAGTGTTATACTGTAGTTCTTGAAAACATCACGTGATTATTATAAGTTTCCCCTAAAAAATCCCATAGAAATCACGCTATCAAACAGGGAGGTACTACCGCCTGGGGAGATATTGGAAGCATAATGTGTTGTCTAATGGTGGACCCTGCTGCCATATGGCATCGCAAAAATTGTGGCCAAGTCCCAGGTTGCCGATCTGACTTTCTGCCTCATTTACACACAATTGCAGGGTCTCAATTGTTTCTCTTACTTGGACAACACAACATACGTAATGTGTATCGTTTCTCACTCTTGATTTATTTTTCGTTTTTGTATTTATTTATTACTATTATATTATTTTTATTGTTTTATTTTTTTGTTAATTTTTATTAATAATACTAATTATAATTATTATTATTATTATTATTATTATTATTATTATTATTATTATTATTATTATTATTATTATTATATTTTTTCCCCAGGCCCTGATGTGGGTCAGTGACCTGTGCCCGGGTGGGCTAATCTCCGTAAAAAAGGTGGAAAAAAATAACACCCCAACAAAAGCACTTGAAAACAGTCTTACACCCCAAGTAAAGATGTAACTTTTTCTCTTTTAGTTCCCCCCAAAAAAACTTTCACAGAAAATAATCATTATTGGCTCTTCACGATATAGTAATGGATATCCTACTTAATTATACTTGTATAAGAATGATGTTCAGATATCTAGATGGTTCGTCCCTCGTAACTATCTTCAAGAGTGAGGTGATTCCCCGTCTGGAGTAGTTTCTGTCATCCGTCTAGTCCCGGAGATATGCTAGAGACTGTCAGTTGATTGAGGGCCACCAGACACCTGGTGCCTGTACTATAACGGGACCTCAGTTACCCAGAGAGATTAGAACGCCTGCAGTTGCCTAGCTTATACTATAGGCGGGCAAGGGGTGACATAATGACTGGTGCACGTTCCGATACATTCAGGAGCCAGTACATGTCCAGTATTTGTCAACAGTATGTAACACGCGACCGACCGTCCAAGCGTCTAGCAAGGGGCGATGAGGATAAAGTAAAAGTATAAATAAATTCTATAAAACCACGCCAGTCAACTTCAACCCACCACTACCACTTAATTCCCCCCAAATATCATAAATTAAAGACATTCTCTCTACATCTCCTGAAAACAACTTAGATTTTCCTTCAAGACGTTCACTATTTGTCTTAATATAAGCCATCCATTGGTCCGTGCAGGATGGAACACTGTAGTACATTATATACCTTGTAGACTTCTGACGTCTCCTCACAACTGAACACTGAGCTCATACGGTGTCGCTTCCTTCCGTGGATGGTAATTTGGGGCGAGGGCGTCTGAGTCTTCCCAGGCGAGTCATTGTCGGACCACGAGCGAGCTTGGGTGTTAGTGCTGGTGTCAGGGAATGGGCGAGCTTGGGTGTTCGTGCGGGTGTCATGGAACGGGCGAGCTTGGGTGTTCGTGCGGGTGTCATGGAACGGGCGAGCTTGGGTGTTCGTGCGGGTGCCGGAGAACGGGTTAACCAGGGTGATAGTGCGTGAGTTTGGTGTCACGCTGGGACCACTAACTGATCGTGGGTCATTGTATTTGAAAGAGGTTGTGGTGGTGAAGGTGTTGTTGACTGCCGGAATGTTACGCTTGGTAGAAGTGATGGTGAAGTGTATGCTGGAACCCATTGTGTCTTTACCTCCTGTCACCACACAACACAACACTGTAACGCAACACAACACTGTAACAACACTAACACAACACTGTAACACCCTGTAAGAAACACACTATACCTTTCTGTGTATATCTACATTTGTGCCACACTACGTAGGGATAATTGCTATAGTGATTTGTTTATGCAGAATTCACTGATGTATATGAACTGTAGACGAACATTATACATATTGAATATAAATAGCATCTTCAGGCCTATTAAGCTAATTTTGATAAAAAAAATTCCCAAGTACAGTATAAACTAATTTCCATTGAGTTACTAAAGAAATAGTTATCCCCATTTGACAAACACATCAGGAGCGTTTTAAGGCTTAAATTAATGAGGCAATTATCGCTATATAATGTGACATAACGTGTGTGTGTGTTCAGTAGCTATCTATAATCGGTAACTTTTCCCCGTCATATAAGACCACTCAGATCGTTTCCCCCACAAGACGTACAAACACTCATTTCTTCACTACACAGAACTGCACGTCTCTTATGGGCTCAAACGTTCAATTCTGTAGTGTTTAATTTTTTAGTCACGTTTCATTATCTTCAAACTAGTAATATGGCTTATTATTATTTCACAAATATTATAAGATTATTTGACGTCACTTATCAGGGGTAAATATGTTACAAAGGGTAAATATGTTACAAAGAGTGAGCAGGGAGCCGCGGGTACAGGACGCTACAGAACACACTCACCGCCGATACTGTAGTGATAATTCTTTAAACACACTTCACTGGGGGGAGGACCCGGTCAGTTGCTCAGTCAGTATTTAAATTTACCAAAAAAAATGATACAAAATAATGTTTGGTTATTACAACATCAGTCAATATTATTAACTAATGATCAATGAAAGTTGTAAAATATAAACAAATATTGTACGTTCCTCTACTGGTAAATAAAGGTGTTTATACTCTTATTGTGGCAGTAATGGGCGCGCACACCAAGCTACTCTCCCTGTACATTATAACTAACCTAACCTAACATAACCTAACCAAATGCGTAAATAATAAAAAAAATATTAAAAACGAACATAACTTAAAAAATGTGCACTAACACCTTATGGAAACAAAGCCTAATTATGTCTTGTTAAGTCATTGGAAACTCCCCGTCAGTCAACGAAGTCATCACAGCCATCACCGGAAGTCAAGGTATAGATAACGTAACATAACAACGAACACAGTTAATGACTTGTTTTTAATGATTTGTTGTATTTATTTATGAATTTATTTGTAATTGTTTATTTATTTTTTCTATATTTTTTATTTATTTTAATTTATTGCAAGTGGTGTTAGTAGCCGGTATCTATGAAAATGTATTTTTTCTTCTGTTATTGGTGTAGATGTGTCCTTAAGTCACCATCACACACTACTACAACTTTGCTGTCACTCGGAATCGAGTATGACGATCATCCAGCTATGATACTATGATTTGAGTTAT